CTTATGCTAATTCGGATATTAGAGGAGCAGGCTGCTTGATGTGGTTTGGCGATCTCACTGATATTAGGGATTTTTACATTGCTGGTTATGACCAGTATCTCTTCCTACGGCTACCTGCTTCTGAATTAGGTAAATACTAATATCGTTTTCTGCATTGGCTAATTTTTTTAGCAATTGCTTTTTTCTTCTTTGTCCCAATCTTTCATTACATCAATGCGTCCTTTGTCAATGTCAGACAGAACTACTGTTCTGTCCCGTACTAATTATTTGTCGTCTCCAAGTTTCTCTAATGGAGATAGATTCATCAGCTTATAAACGAACTCTCCTTCTGAAATTAGTTACTTAACTTCTTCTTGTATGCTAGATTCAACCCGCAATCTATCCAAAAAACTGGTGACTATCACTGTGGCTTCAGCCGTATCGGGATTGCTTATTGTGGGCACGGCATTGAGCATATTCTGGAAAAGAAGAATGAAAAGCCGAGGTTAGCTAAATACCTTTATCTCACTTCATGTGGTCAAATTCCGGATTGTTTTTTTTTTCTTGTGGAGGTTACGGTATGGTTTGAGAAACTAATTTACATCTCTTGTAGGCTTGCCAAGTGGGATGGATGACATTGATTTGCCCTTATATGATTTTGCTGCTGTTGATGTTGCTACCAACCACTTCTCTCAAACAAACAAGCTAGGAGCGGGTGGCTTCGGTTCGGTCTACAAGGTAACGAGTTATAAATCTGCGAATTCAAATAACTATAGTGGCCCGCACTAAGCAAAATACATGCAGGGAAGTCTTTCCACGGGACAAGAAGTAGCAGTAAAGAGGCTATCAAAATATTCTGGACAAGGTCCTGATGAGTTTATGAATGAAGTCCTTCTAATCGCCAGACTTCAGCACCGGAATCTTGTTGGACTTGTTGGCTGCTGCATTGAGGGAGATGAAAGAATGTTAATTTATGAGTTTATGCCAAACAAAAGCTTGGATTATTTCATCTTTGGTCAGAACCACCAGATCTTAATGTGTTCCTTTTCACTCGATTCCTTATGCTTTTGTTTCTGTCCATTGATTCCTTCGCTAGAAAACACGGCTAAAAGCTAACAACATAATTAGTTTTTGATGGGGTTGAGTGTGTGCAGATCATGACAGAAGCTCCTCTTTGGCATGGAAAAGGCGATTTGACATTGTTCTAGGAATTGCCCGAGGACTTCTCTATCTCCACCAGGATTCGAAACTACAAGTGATCCACAGAGACCTGAAAACAAGTAATATTTTGTTAGATGCTGAAATGAATCCAAAGATTTCAGATTTCGGCCTGGCAAGGATCTTTCGAGGAGATGACACGGAGGCAGAGACGAGAAGAATAGTGGGTACATAGTAAGTTTCTCATCTTGATTCATTGGAACAGTGCACTATCCATCAGTATTTGGAGGGACTGAAGCCCGATTTGCTTGATGCAGTGGTTACATGTCCCCAGAGTATGCCTTGGATGGGAAATTCTCCGTGAAGTCTGACATTTTTAGCTTTGGGGTGCTTTTGTTAGAGACAGTAAGTAGCAAAAGGAATAGAGGATTCCAGCATCCTGATCATCATCACACCCTTCTTGGGCACGTAAGTGGTAGAGAATTATTAAGACCCGCCGTTTCCTTTTTTGCTAAACAAGATCAGACATTCCGTTTCTCTTAAAACCTCATCCCATTTCGTTCTGTGTTCCCCTAGTCACGTTTTCTTTTTTGATGCACAGACAGTGGTTGATCATGAGTAGCTTAAATTTTTTAGGCATGGCTGCTATGGAGTGAAGGGAGGGCCATGGAACTCATTGATGAATCTTTAACCGCCTCTTTCATGGAGTCTCAAGCAGAGAGATGCATACAGGTGGGCTTGTTATGCGTCCAAAGGTTTCCTGAAGATAGGCCAACAATGTCCAGCGTCGTCTTCATGTTGGCAAATGAAGGAGCAACCTTGCCACTGCCAAAAGAACCCGGTTTCTTCGTCGAGAGAAGTTCGGGTAGTTCAGATGCATATTTAGTTAGGGAAGAACCCAACACACCCAACTTGGTTACGGTCACATTGCCTGAAGGTCGATAGAAATGTCATCGAGAATGTCTGCAGAATGTAGACCGGCTTTCTCAAGCACAATGGACAGAAGAAGCATACGATGTTGTAAAGTTGAATAACAAATTTTTTGCCATGGCTTTTTCCTAGACCCTTGGAGAAGAGGGAAGAACAACCTTCCAGCCTCCCGCAACATGCTCGATAATTCCAGACCTCTCCGGTCACCGGCTACCCCACGCCGCCACCGGGAACCTACTCCAACGGCGGCTATCCTCCGGCGGCGCATCCCAACACCGCAGATATTCAATGCCGCATGTTCCAATAAGTATCTGACACGTCATTTAATGTGTTAAGACTTTTTACCCAGGCTTAGCATACCTTTCATTGTGAATTCTTTCTCTTTATTTCTGCTCATTGCATTGTTAGTCATTTTTGGGCCGGGGCCAATGTCTTCGGCCCTCATGCTCAAAAAGCTCGGACATATAAAGATGGGCTCAGCCCAAAACTTCTCCATTCACTATTTCGAATTGTCGGGCTTATGAGCAAAGCAAAGAAAAATTAGCCCAACTAAAAAAAATTCAACTTTCAATAACCATTCACTTTCTATCCCTTAATTCCGAAAAGAATTATACCGTAGAATGCACATTTCTCATCAATATAACCATACATAGTCTATGCTTTGAAACAGACTATGCGAACTCGGAGTATTTAGTGAGAGAACATCGAGGCTCCGTTTGCTTCGCGGAAAACGAATGATTTGGAAAAAAATTTCCTAAAAATGATCGTTTTTATTACTTAAAAATATGAATGAACGAAAAATACTTTATCATTGATAAAAATATTTAGACATAAATATTTTTGGTAATGAAAATATTTTTTATTGGCTAATTATTTCAAGCGATGCAAGCAATCATTTTTAGGAAAATATTTTCCAAATTATTAATTTTCCACAAAAGAAACGGGAGCCAATTTCTTTGCTTTTTTCATTTCGAACTCCATATATTGTAAAGACTAAAGTCAATTCAATTCGAATTGGATAAAGAGATGGTTTATGAGAAGGGTAGTGAACAAGAGTGGGTTGACTTTTGACCATTTTTTGTGTCCTTTTTTTTTCAATGGCGGTGTCCACAATTTTATAGTCAACTATATTCGAAACGATGGCTAATTATAAGATAATATTTTTTTATTTCTCTAAAAACTATTGTACTAAACGATAGCAGGAATGAACACCATTGACAAAAATATTTTTGAGTCGTTATATGGCAATTTATGTGTCTCTTAAATTCAAAATTAAAGAAGGAAAAATATTGACAAGTGGGTCGAGACTATATTTTCTATTCGGGCAATTGGCTTTGTGGGTTCACGCAAACTGTGAGAGTGTGTTCTTCTTTCAAAGCAGAACTTTAGCGCATATATTTAGGTCTCAAAATGTCTATCTCATTTGACATTCGCAAACTTATTGTGGAGATGGACTTGTAGGAGGCTATTTCTCTTCTTCATAAATCAACTCGCTCTCTCAATTTTGGTGACATTCTCCTTACACAGATTGGGAAAATGTTAGAGTATTTTCAACAGGTCAAAATCATACATACTTTTAGGGAAAGAAACTTATGTGCATATTGGTTAGCAAATTGGATACTTCAATTATCTGATATAAATTAGGAGTGGGCATGGTTCCAAGTTACCTAGAACCTGATCGGTGAGAACCTGTAGGTTCTAGGTTTTAAAAATTGGGAAATGGTAGGTTTCAGGTTTCCAAGTTCTAGGTAAGTGGAACTTTAAACCTTAAACCTTAAACAAGTTTTTTTGTATTTTTTCTTGGTTTATGTCTTCGCATGATTCTGCAATATTCCATAGCGAGTATAATATAGAACCACTAGTATGAGTTTTCATTTTATGACTTGTTAATGTTTCATATTCTTCGTGTGTCTAAATATAAATTGTGGTCAGTAGATCGTAACAGCAAGTGGCAGTCATTAAAAGTGATGATTCATTGTAATTGTTCAATTAATAATACAAGTGGAACCGAGATAGACCTTGGAACCGACCTTGGAACTTGTGATGGGGTAGGTTCCAGATTCCAAGATTTGTAGGGTAGGTTTCAGGTTCAAAAAATAACATATTCCCATGGGTAGATTCCAGGTTCCAGGTGGAACTTATATGGAACCTGGAACCGCTCACCCTTAATGTAAATGACACTCTAGCATTAGATAAGCTATCGAGAGATTTACTTCCTTGTTGATAAAAGATCAGACATGATTGAGTTTAATTAGGAAAGTAATAGTGTAACTCTAGGGCTTTGCCCTCATTTCTTACCAAAAAGAAATTATATATTTTTTCTATTTTAAAAAAAGGTCTGTTTCAATGTTATGTCTTCGGCATTTTCAGTGCGAGAAAGTAAGCGCATTAAAAATAATAATAGTTTCTTAAAATTAGTCGCTTGAAAAAATGCACGTGGAGCGCTAATCAAATCCAGATAATTAGGGTATGTTTGCTTCGCGAAAAATGAATCATTCGAAAAACATTTTCCTGCAAATGGTCGTTTCGTTTTCCTTACGAAAATAAATAAACAGTAGATATTTTCGACGTTTAGACATAAAATGTTGTCGGTAATGAAAACATTTTCCATCAGCTAAATTATTTCAACCAATGTAAGCTATCACTTTTAGGAAAAACAATACTTTCCAAATTATTTATTTTCCTTAATAGAAATCATTATTCATCAATAGAGAAGTCATTAATCGCACATTATGTACAAGAAACCGAAATGACAGCTTCACCTCATTTTTCTCTCATTCTTTTGAACGGCAAGAAAATCTCATTTTTCGAACTTATTTTGGACATCTATTAAATGATAGGATTACATGACCTGTAATTCTAACCTATAAATCATGGAAGGAGTCCCGTCGCCACAAAAGGCAAACCCAGAGAAGAAGAGAAGAAGAAAGACCTTCCAGCTTTCTTCGACATGGCCGACAATTCCCGACCTCCGGTCACCGGCTACCCCACGCCGCCCCAGAGTGCCTACTCCAACGGCCATCCTCCGGGGGCGTACTCCAACACCGCCTACCCTTACGCCGCGCCGCGCCCCCAGTACGTCGGTTACCAGTACTATGCCCCGGACCAGCGCGCCACCTTCCTCCGCTACTTCCTGGTGGCGATGATCGCCTTCTTCGCCATCGTCGGCACCATGCTCCTCATCGCCTGGCTCGTCCTCCAGCCACGCCTCCCCGAGTTCCGAGCCGAGTCCGTGACGCTCGCCAACTTCTCCGTCTCCTACTTGTCGCAGCACGTCTCCGGGGACTGGCTCGTCCGGTTCCAGGTCGCGAACCCTAACAAGAAGATGAGGATATCCTACACCGACATCGAGTCCTACATCTACTACGAGTCCGAGCCCTTGAGCGTGATGCGGCTGCCGCCATTCGATCAGGGGACGAGGAACCAGACGGTTGTGCAGGCGAGTTTCGCGGCCGTGGACTCGTACGTGGACGGTTGGGCCGTGAGTGGCATGAATGCGGAGAGAGCGAGCGGGGCCGTGATCTTCCAAGTGAGGCTTATCGCCTTGGCTCGGTTCGAAGCCGGATGGTGGCCCGCACGGTGGAGGTTGGTTAGGGTTTTTTGCCGCAACCTGGCGGTGGCGCTTCCGTCGAACGACGGAACGGGGAAGTTGACCGGTGGAGTGAGAGATTGCATGGTTGGTCTATTATGAGTAAGCTCTCTCGATTTGGTCTTTCTTGAAAGCTGTTTTAAGAGCTCGATTTTCATGTAATTTCGTGTATATTAAAAAATTCGTTTCGAAAACTCATGCGAAATCCAAAAACAAAAACTGCCGGAAAAAGATTCATTTATACAAGCAATTATTTTTAGGAAATTTTTTTTCCAAATTATTCATTTTCCGCAGAAATGAAACAAACAGAGCAGTTGTAATTATCGATTCTCAGAGACACTTCAACAGCCGAATATAAACAAAACCATCGTGTTGCACGATCCAACTGCATCCATCCCCCATGTAGGAATTCACTATGGACACATGTGGCATGAACGTAACAATTGATTGTCGGAAATCGCACAAAATACATAATCGATGCGATGTGCCGAAGATCCTCACTTGATTTTGCCCTTATTAGATTTACTTTCGCAACTTTTGCTCTGATAAAGTTTTGCTTGTTATCCCGTATGATAGGACTATTATACTAATTACATCAACGGCGGGGGATAGATTTTTTTTTCTCAACAAAAAGAACATACTATTAGTATGTACACGGACACGATATTCAATGCTCGATGTTCCAATAAGGATCCTGCACATCATTTATGATGCGTTTATTTTAACATTCCCAATGGGCTTTAGGGGAATGCAAATATCTTTAATTTAAAGCCCCATAAGGAAATGCAAATTACGTTTGGTAAAAAAATCCTTTGTGAAGCTACTTTGGTCAAAATAGTGTTTGGCAAATCTTATTTTACAAAGGGTTTTGGGATTTTTTTATTAAAAAAAAAAGCTTACCTTTCACCCAAGCTGGCGATGGGGTACGACCGCCAACAGGGGTCGCACGACCCCAGGCGGCCCTCGTCGGGGTCACGCAACCCAGGCGACAGAAGCCTGAGGTCGTGCGGCCCAGGCGGCCATCGCCAGGGTTGCCCAACCTCGGGCGACGGCCGCCGACGCCAGATCTGACTCGCCGGCGGTCATAGCCCCTCGCACACTGCCCTCAATCTAAAGAAGATGAACAGTCACGAGGGGCAAAATTGGAATATTAAAGAATTAGTTATGGTAGTTTGGGAAAAAAAATTGGTTTCAGCATTAGGTAAATACTGAAAGCTCAAAGCTAGTCTAGACCAGCCTTAGGCTTTCAGCATTCCCAATGCTGGCTTTCGGCCGAAAGCTCATTGGAAATGATTACCAAAAGCCTTAGTATTTCCCCAAGGGGCTTTCGAGAGAATGCTGAACTAAACACACTCTTAATGTGTTAAGACTTTTTACTCAGCCTTAGCGTACGCACACACATATATATATTTTAGGGAAAAGCATAAAAAAAAGTCTTAAATCTATTGCATTGGTATCAATTCAGTCTTAAACATTTCAATTGGACCAATTTAATCCAAAACATTTTCATATTGATACCAATTTAGCCAATCTAACCAATTTACACTGGAAATTGCTGAAGTGGACAATGATCGTCCTATGTGGCATGGTCGGCGTTAACGTGGATTAATTTTTTTTATGATTTTTTAATAAATTTCCCTTTTTCTTTCCTTTTTTTTTTTTCCTTCTTCTTCCTCTTTGGCCTGTGGCCAGTGTTCTGCCATGGCCGGCAACCGGCCATAAGCGAGGGCAACCTTTGTCGGATCAGGCAAGGGCTTGACCCTTGCCAAATCTAACGAGGGCCACCCTCGCGACCTCTAGCGAAGGTGGGTTAGAGTTTTCTCCAGAGGCCGCGAGGGTGACCCTTTCCTGTGGCCGAGTACTGGCCATGGCCGAGCACCAGCTACAGGCCAAAGAGGAAGAAAAGGAAAACAAATTTGGAAAAATTTTATAAAAAAATTAATAAAAAAATAAAAAAATCTATTAAAAAATTATTCACGTTAACAATTTCTGGCCTAAATTGGTCGGATGGACTCAATTGGTACCAATGTAAAAAATTTTGTAATTAAATTAGTCCAATTGAAAGGTGTATGATCGAATTAATATCAACATAATAGATATATTTTTGTAGGGGACCCACCTTGTGAATTCCTTTTCTCTTTATTTTCTGTTCACGGCACTGCTAGTCATTGTTTGGGCCAGGGCCAGGGCCAATAGCATTGGCCCACATGCTCTAAAAGCTCGGACACTTCTCCTCCGTTCGCTATTTCGAATTGTCGGGCTTATGATCAAAGCGAAGAATAATTAGCCCAACTCAAAAAAAATTCAACTTTCAATAACCATGCACTCTCTCTCCCTTAATTCCGAAAAGAATATACCATAGAATATACATTTCTCATCAATCCAATTATTCATTGTCCATGCTTCCAAACAGACTCTGTGAACTCGGAGTACATAACAAGACAACGAGGTTCCATTTGTTGCGCTGAAAATGAATGATTAGAAAAATATTTTCTTAAAAATAATCGCTTGTATCGCTTATAAAAATGAATAAACAAAAAAATACTTTTATCGTCATCCAAAATGTTTAAATATATCTTATTATTGATAATAATAATATTTTTAATTTATTAATTATTTCGAGCGATACAACCGGTCATTTTTTAATTCAATTCAATTCGAATGGGATAAAGAGACGGCTGGTGAGAAAGGTAGCGGACATGAGTCAGTTGACTTTTGACTACTTCTTGGAGTCCATAATTTTGTAGTCAACTATAGTTGAAATGATGGCTAATCATCGGATAATGTTTTTCGTTTATATTTCTCTAAAAAACTATTGTACTACGTGACAGCAAAAATGAACACAGTTGACAAAAACATTTTCGAGCCGTTATTTGGCAATCTATGTCTCTTAAATCCTAAAGTAAAGAAAGAAAAATATTGACAAGTGGGTCAAGATAATATTTCATCTTCAAAGAAAAAAATAGATCCATTCCAATGTCATGTCTTCCACATTTTCAGCACGAGAAAGGAAGCACCTTGAAAATTATAATTATTTCTTTAAATTAGTTGCTTAACAAAATGCACTTGGAGCGCTAATTAAATCCAAATAATTAATTACGACATGTTCGCTTTGTGGAAAAATAAATCATTTGGAAAATGTTTTTAAAAAAATAATAGTTTTGTTTCGCTTAAAAAAATGAATGAACGAAAGATATCTTCATCGTCTACCAAAATATCTAAACATAAATTGTCGTCACTAATAAAAACATCTTCCAACGAATAAATTATTTCAAGCGAAATCTAGCGATAATTTTGAAGAAAAATATTTTCTAAATCATTCGTCCGCCTCAATAGAAATTATTATTCATCAATAGAAAAGTCCATTAATCCCCCATCAATTATGTACATAAAAAAAAAAACAAACCAAAATAACAGCTTCACCGCATTTATTTTTTCTCATTTCTTTGACCGGTCAAGAAAATATGATTTTTTTCGACCCCCCCAAAAAAAAGAGAGAATCTAATTTTTCTAAATTATCTTTGATGCCAATCAAATGATCAAAATTTAGATGACTTGCAATTCTTAACCTATAAATGAAATCACGGAAGGAGTGAGGGAGAGGCCAAAGCTCATCAGCAAGCAAAGCCATTAAAGCACCTCCTCCTTCTTCCTCCTCAAGAAATTCCTTAACCCCTCTCTCTCTCTCTCTCTCTCTCTCTCTCTCTAGATAGAAAGCTCCCATTTTTCTCTCTCTTCTCGCCATTAGAGGGCAGACCCAGATCAGAGAAGAAGGAGGAGAAGAAGAAGGAAGGACCTTCCGGCTCCCTCCTCCGACATGGCCGACAATTCCAGACCTCCGGTCACCGGCTACCCCGCGCCGCCGCCGGGCGCCTACTCCAACGGCTACCCCCCGCCGGGGCCCCACTCCAACGCCTCCTACCCTTACGCCGCGCCCCGCCCCCAGTACGCCAACTACCAGTACTACACCCCGGACCGGCGCGCCGCCTTCCTCCGCTACTTCCTGGTGGCGATGATCGCCTTCTTCGTCATCATCGGCACCGTGCTCTTCATCGTCTGGCTCGTCCTCCGGCCCCGCCTCCCCGAGTTCCGGGTCGAGTCCGTGGCGCTCGCCAACTTCTCCGTCTCCAACGCGTCGCAGCACGTCTCCGGGGACTGGCTCGTCCGGTTCCAGGTCGCGAACCCTAACAAGAAGATGAGGATATCCTACACCGACATTGAGTCCTACATCTACTACAAGTCCGACTACCTGAGCGCGACGCGGCTGCCGCCGTTCGATCAGGGGACGAGGAACCAGACGGTTGTGCAGGCGAGTTTCGCGGCCGTGGACTCGTATGTGGACGGTTGGGCTGTGAGCGGCATAAATACGGAGAGAGCGAGCGGAGCCGTGAACTTCCAAGTGAGGCTCATCGCCTTGGCTCGCTTCAAAGCTGGATGGTGGCGCGCGCGGCGGAGGTTGATTAGGGTTCTCTGCAGCAACCTGGCGGTGGGGCTTCCGGCGAATAACGGAACGGGGAAGTTGACCGGCGGAGTGAGAGATTGCAGGGTTGGTCTATGAGTAAGCTGTCGTCGTTGCTTTTTTCAATTTTTTCTTTTGTTTTTTTTCACAATCTGAATGTGGTTTAACATGGATAAAGATACCTTTTTTTTTTCGTGAGATTATCGTAGGAATGGATGTATAGATGTACATTTAATTCCTGTATGATAGTTCTTATGGTTGTGATCATTGATTTGTTGATACTGTAGATGTAGAAGATTTCTCTTTTCAAATTTCTAGTTGTATTCACATTGGATTCATTTTTTTGCGTCAATTTAATTGTTGCGGTCTAGCTTGTTGCCATCTCATGTTGCCGCCGTAGCGGAAGAAGTTAAGAACTCGATGAGTACAGTACTATTTGGTTATGTCTTCCTGGAAAATTGATACGTTCCGTGTAATCCATGTCTCTGTTCATTTGAGCTTTGCACGACTTAGGAAGAAGCCTTTGGCTGAACTTTTTGTGCTTTGTATAATGGAGGAAAGTCTTCAAGCATCCTTCTGTTTGAGAGACTGATTTTTGATTTTGTTCTGTCTCTGGTGCGAGTAATTCTAATCAAGGAATTAGACACTGAGAGTCTAAGGAAGCATGGGAGATGTTAAATTCTTGCTTTGCGGCATATGTGACCCTCGTGTGTCGTTCAAATATTGTGAGTGATTGGTAGTGACCAATTTAATATTAAACCGAAGTTTGCATCAGCCTCAGGTTGTATTGGAAGCATAGTGATGTGGGTTGTTCTAAAGATAATTGACCGTATCAGCTCCTTGTTGAGCAGGAGCATGGCCCTTTTAGGGCTTTTGAGCATTTTCAAGCTTACCAATAATCATGGTTGGTTAGGTTAGATTTAGGTGCAGCATCGTGTTTGTGAGTCCTTGGCAACCATAAGCATCTCTTATGCTATGTTGGGGAGAGGGGGTGGGGGAGATTGAAAATTTGGGTAGAAAAGCAATTCAATCTGAAGTAGTTCTTCAAATTGTCAATCTCAAGGAGGTTAGAGTATCTCAAGGCATTGTGACTGAAGGTCCGAAGTTACGCTCTTGTCTACTGAGAAATAGAATTTCTTTTAGCCTTCAATTACCTTCTTGTACTTTCTTCTCTCTTGGAATATGAGCGCCTCAATTTCAGAGGATGGCGGCACTTGCTGCCGAATAAATTGTTCAAATAGATGAATACAAGAACCTAGAAAGAAGGGGTAGGTATTGTCATTTCTCTTTGAAAAGTATGTAGTTGCTTTAAAGTGGACTATTCACTGATTTTGGTAGCTCATGAGTCCTGGAGGTTTGGTGTGTATGTCAGTCATGAGATGGGTTGGAAACTACCATTTGATGTGCACAGAATTTCTGAAGGCGTCATATTAATGCCGGGCTACTAAGATATATGCACACCATTTAGATGCTAGCTTTATGTTGACTCTCATCAATTGTGCTGCACAGATTTGGACCCCCAGTTTCAAGATCCTACATAGCTCTTGTTTTGTCCGTTTAGATAACATGGTGCTTTTAGTGGCTTGGCCTTCATGCTTAGATTGGACAGGTTGCTACATCAGTGGGTCTTTTTCTTCTGGTCCCAACCAACGAATGGAAAAACCTTGAGCTGAAATGCATCTCTAATGAGATACTTAAAGGACTGGTACTAAGGAGTTTACGTGAATGGACGTGAGTTATGGTTAGTGGTCATTAATATGGCATGTAGATGGCTCTTCTAGTACCGATTAACTATGACTGAATCAAGGGGGTCACAAGCGTAAGCATATGATTTGATCTATTTCTTTTTGCCATGAACATCTGTATTTATAGTGAGAGGATAGTATTTGAACTCAGGTGGGCAAAAGCTAGACTAAGATATTGGTTGACCATGTTTGCTTCAGGAAGGTTGCGATAACTTGAGCAAATACCAGAAAAAAAAAATAGTCGAGGTGGGAATTTTTTATCTTGAGTTATCCCGGCTCACTGAAGTGCTAAATTCTGCCTCTAACAGCAGGTACCAGATGCTCTTTTTATGGACCACTTGCTGGGGGCAGGTCTGAACTTTATAGATTTAGAAAAGTCTGAAAAGGAGGTTTCTGCCTCTGAATTACGAAAACTCACTAGAAATGCCACGATTTGCCTCTAACAACAGGAATATATGTTCTTCATATGCACAGCCTGCAGGAGCAGCTTTAAACTATACAATTTGGACAAGAGTGAAAAGGAGGTTTGTGAACAGTAGTGTTGATGTAGTGGATTAAAAGTAATGCATAACAAGTGAGACTTAGTCGGAGGCCTTTGGAGAAATTGGTTTAAAATGGTGATCACATTCTTGCATGTTGACTGAGCTCAGTGAATCCGTTGATTTTATGAGATTGGATCCACTTATGACCATTCATCGTCTTTGACTAATCGTTGATCATTTGCCAATTATATTTTATCCAGAAGAGTAACGCATGCTTGGTAACTTTAATTGAGCTGGTGGATACTGAGAAAACTAGATTCTGATAAATCAGCTAAATCTACCTTGCAAGAGCATGCCTGTCTGCGGTTCCTATTCTTAGTAAGCTATTTTGAATTGTTGCACACATATTACGGGAATTGTCATTTTAGTTTAGGTATACATACATGGCTATGTCTTCTAGGTATGAAGTAATCATCTGGGCTACAACATATACGCTGAACACTCTCCATGATTTCTTTTAATTGTTGATGATTGTCAAGGTATCAACCTCTCCATATACAGTTGTATGATTTTGAATCTTCGAGTGATGTCAATGGATACAATGTGGAGTTTAATGTTTCCATTTGGTTTTATTATTCTTTTAGAAGGGTTAACTATGGTTGATGGAGCATCTGTATATTCTGTTTATAATGTTGTCAACGGTCCATAGAAATAGAGCTGAAACAATTGATACCTGAAGAAATCGGCCACCCTACCCTTTTTTAGATACCTCCGCAACATTACTTTCCGTCTAAGCACAAGAAGGAAGGACTGTTCAACATCTATGACCTCGATAGGAAAAACTCATTGCAAGCGCTACCGCGGTGTTCTGCATAACGACAGGGTTGGGTTTCGAACAGTGTGCAGCGTGCTCCTGCCTGTAGAGCATCTTAGTGGGCATTGTCTCTCGCATGATCCGGAAGATGATTTTGGGCTTCCTCCTGTTCTGCTCATGTTGTATGATTCACTTGTAGCCTGTGAACCTAAAAAGAACCTTATTTTGTCCATAACTTGTTGCATAGAAGCACAGTAACTGTGCACGCCATCTCAATGTTGAGTCGGCGTCCATTTCATCGATGAATGGCCGGTTGAATTGTTTTGTCATGGCATCACTTGCCTATGCATGTCTTATTCACTTGGATTGAGAGATGGAAACCAGGGTCCAGGACAGTATCTGGAACCGACAGACCATTAACCCATCTGGGATAGGCATTTTGCTCAAAACTGTAGTGTCAAATGGACCTCTTCAATAGTAAAGTTATCAAACACCGCCCCGCGCCACCCTCCCCAAAAAAAAAAAAAATAGTAAAGTTATGGCGTGACAAACTTAGGTTCAAGTAGATACAGCACATTGTAGATTTGGCAGGTGAGCGAACTTTTTTTGCAGTGTGAGCAGATGGTTCCATTGCATTTATGGTAGCTTAAAGGTCCTGACCGCATGATGCCGTGTTCGTTTCGACCAAGAGCACTGTGACTAGCATCAAAGGTAGAGACCGAGTTCACCCAATTGTTGGCTACTTTCGGATCTGTTGTGGACTTTTTTGTCGCGTGTCTGATCATCCGGTTGTTTGTTCGCAGTTTTAGGATCACTACTGATGACAGGTTTTTCTTTGTAGACGTACCGGCTTTTCTTCCCTTATATATTCTTACTACTAATATGGAATGAAAACCGAATTCGACTAAGCAAACATCTGACTACTATGAGCCTTAAAACTTGTCGATGAAGCATCGGCGATATCACTTGAAAGATGCCTTTAGAGCACGATCCAAGAAAAAGCATAACCTGTTCAGCATCCTTTTTTGCCAAGTATTGAATCGATCGAACTTATTCTTCCGTTTTCTTCTTCCTTTTCCCTCTACCCCTTTTCCATCTCTCCAATTCTGATTCTTCCCTTCTGGAATTCCCTCCCCATGAAGTGATAGAGCCCCTCTTTTGCTGCTTTTATATATTCCCTCCACCTTTTCCGTATGCTTCTTTTCTTCTTCGTTGTGGTTCCTGATGTGAGGTGGATGAAACGCATGGGATATACCTAGAATTTGCTTGGAGATTTTCTTAATGCTCGGTGAAGATCCATTTATGGCTTTTCATTTATGGGATAAAAATACGAACTAGTGAGATTCAGGTTAACTTTGTGTGACTAGAATGATCCTTAGCTTGTGCAACATGGGAAAGTCATATATCCTCCTTTTACAGAGACTTTATGGATGGGTGAGTGAGATATATGGTTGAGACTAGGATAGAGAGGAATTTCGGCCCGTGTTCTCTAATTATGAGAAGGCCAACTTTAGGTGAGCCTGAGAGATTCCAAGTTCTTTGCGGAGCATGATGTTTTAGGCCATTCAAGTCAACCATTGCCTTGAGATTGTATAATTTCAGGAAGAGAATAACGAAATTCATAACGCTTGACACGCTTGACATGTCGTAATTGGCTTGATTGGACGAATATGGCGTTCTTCAAAAGTAGCTAAAGATTTCTTGATGGGTAAACTAACTTCATAATGCACATACTAATCTTGTGAACAATAGGACCGAAAGCCCGGACGCACTTATTGAGATGTTTGCAAGGAATTGAACTTGTGGCGTGCTCCAAGCAGAGTCGCCCACGGATCTGTTCTTTCACCACTAAATTTTTCTTGAGGAAGTTTTGACATTGACATCATAAAGCACTTGGGGAGGAGAGTACCCTTTCTGAGCGTTTATAGCACCTCTCTATGGTGAGGACAACATCAGAATCATTACTCAGCAATCAACTGAATTTAGTGATTGCTATGCATTGATAGATTCAATCTAAGTAGGGATGACACTGGTCTCTTTCCTGACATCTGAGCATGGACAAAACATGGCACAGCAAGGGAAAGGTCGTATGGTTATGGTGGCAACTTGGGCGAGTGTCACCTTGATAATGAGACATAATGTTTGGTTAAAATGGAACGTCACAACAGAGAAAAAGAGAGGCTAAAAGATGTGGAGGAAGAAGCCTTTGCTTTACAAAGAAGAGGGTACAAAAATATGCAGAAAAGAGGAGTCAGTGATGTAATGAGTGTGCTCCAATGGTTTCCCTTCGAAGCCAAGGCAAAACACACACTTTACACATATATAGAGACTATTTTGATGAGGCAGAGTTATGAATGATTTGTTTATTTATTTGACTCCTTACCAAACTCCCAACCACACAAAATCCCTAAAGAATGAAGCCCCACCACCAAAAGGAAAAGGTGTTTTGATGTATTGATATAACAGCCGACACGTTGCAATCGGCCAATTATATTACTCGCGTGATATACATTCTCATCAAGTTTTTCGTTTCAATTTTAAATCCCTCACTTCTTGTTGTATAGCTTCTCAATTTGTCATTATCCGGTGGTATCACACTACGAGGAGCCAAATTCACAGATCTGTGTGTGGTAATAATTTATGAGGGTGAAATTAGTAGAATTGGACAAAATCAATGATTTCCAAGAAACCCCATTAACGGTTGTTAGAGTCTCGAGAACGATAGAGATGTCCATGTCACAACAAGCAATCGCAGAGATCATTCTCGGCCCTTTTTGGAATGAAACCAAAACATGGTACATCAATGATTTTCGGATTGCTTCTATCATAGTCACAAAATGTAATTAATCATCTTCAATCTAACTCAGCAAACCATTCACAATCTTTCCTTGCTTCTTCACATTGTTCCATGACCCACTTTTCACCCCACCACACAAAGAATATGAACCAACAGAAAGTTGATGGACACCCTTTTGGAGCATATACACGTATATGTTTGCTTTCTTTCCCAACACGTCCTGGTATATTCTAGGGAGAGTGACAATAGATTCAAAGCTACCCAACATCACTATACGTGTTCTCCAATCCCAAACTTTGTGAGAGAAGTATCTTATGTTATAATCACATTCATTGAAGTACGATAATTGCAATTTTCTTGAAAAGAATTTCTTCGTATTGGGAACTTTTGCAGGCTGCGTTGATGATTGTCTCCCCTTAAGGATGAAGAATCCTGGCCATTCATGTTGCACTTTCCACTTACTACCAGCGACATTTAGGTCCCAACGCGCAAGAGTGATGGCACCACAAGATCAATTCAAAGAACACTACACGGACCGACTTCTGCAAGTAAATTTAATTTATTGCAGTGTTTGCAACAGTTAAATATAATGATATGTGTCAGGTGGTAAAGACAAAAAGAGATGCACAAGGACTCCTTCAGCATTTAACCTAACCCTAAAAACTTCTGAACCTGAAGTTGGTCTGTCCTCACGACCTCAACATGTAAATGCCCCTTTCCATGTCCAAAATAGAACAAGAAAACTTCATTTTCCTGTTGATCAAGAAAAAAGAGAACATCATTTTTTTTCGTTTACTTTTTTATAAACAATTCGTGCATGGTCTTCCTGTTACTTGGTATGGTATCAAGAACTGAGCATCTCGCATGTCTACTTCTTCAAAATTTTGACTTGTCATGACAAAACCTAGTTGTATATAACCTAGCTTAGGTTTGATAAGATTATTTCCTCTTCCTTTAGAGAAACACTTCAAGATTCTTGTCCTTTAGGACTTCAATCTCTTTATGTTTTTGAGGGACCCCATTAGGGTTCATGGCACACTGTTGGCCCAATACATAGGAGCAAGTATATACCACACAAGATAAGGTTGGTACAAAACAACCACCATGTCAATTCAATTTCACACCACTCACTCCTAATGATTCAAATGCACGTTTTCCCCCTTCATAAGCTTTTAAAAGACCACCTAAAAACCTTGTGCAAACTCCAAATTGCCACATTTTGTGCACAGCTCTCTCCAAAAGCAAAGACTACATAAGCTTCCCCTCTATAAAAGACTCGCAAGCACAAGCCAAAGCTCTTAGCCCCCCCTCATTGTGTAAGCTCTCTCTCTTCACAATTTTTTTCTTTTTCTTTGCTTCAAAAATCGACACTTTGGCTTAGAGTTTGATTCGACATTGTCACACACAAATTGACATGACCGCGAAGGAATGCGACCACCACGAGGAGGAGGAGCACCGCCTCCACCGGCGGCTCTTCTCCCTCCTCCTTGGTCTCATCGTCCTTGCCCTCTTCATCATCTTCCTCGTCTTCCTCATCCTCCGCCCCGCCAAGCCCGCCTTCGTCCTCCGTGACGCCACCATCTACCAGTTCAATGCCTCCGCTGTCCCGAGCCTCCTCACCACTGACATGCAGGTCACGCTGTCGTCCCGAAACCCCAACGAGAGGATCGGCATCTACTACCAGAAGCTCAACATATTCGCGTCGTACCGGGGGCAGCAGATAACGCTGCCAACGCTGCTGCCGGAGAGCTACCAGGCTCACAAGGAGGTGATCGACTGGTCGCCGTTCTTGTATGGGAGCGCCGTGCCAGTGTCGCCGTTCCTTACGGCAGCTTTGGAACAGGACCAGAACGCAGGGAGTGTGCTGGTGAACATAAAAGTGGATGGAAGTGTGAAGTGGAAGGTTGGGACGTGGGTCTCGGGCAAGTATCACCTTCATGTCAACTGTCCAGCCTTGCTGGTGTTCAAAGAACCGAGTGGTGGTATCGCTGTTGGACCCTCCATGAAGATTCAGCTCACTCAACACTGTACTGTTGATGTGTAGAGAGACAAAGTGAGGAAGTGTTAGATCTCACCCCCCTTCTCTCTCTCTCTCTCTCTCTCTCTCTCTCTCTCTCTCTCTCTCTCTCTCTCTCTCTCTCTCTCTCTCTCTCTCCCTCTCTCTCTCTCTTTCTCTCTCTGTCAATGCAGTTTGTTTGCCTTTTCCTCTCTCTTTTTCTCCCTGTTAATCGAAAATGCATCAACTGAGGTAAATTTCAGTGTCTTTTCTTATTCTTTTCTTGCCGTTTCTGGCTTCGTCTAGCTCTCCTATGCTTGTTTTAGGCGATATATCTATTGTGTGCTGTGAAGATGGGGACTGAACATTGCTGTGAAAACAAGAGATAGGGGCACGAGCGAGACCATTTGAGCTCCACTCGCGGGTTTTTTGAACTCGACTCGATTTGTTATCAAAATAGTCGAGATTGATTTTGAAAAAACTCGGCACAAATAGCTGGTAAGCCTGTTCGAGCGATTGCATTTTGTGATATACTTTAACCATACCGATGAATAAGTAAATAAATGTATTATTTCTCATTGTGGTTGTATGATTAAGATTCAAGCTTAAATCGAGCTTGCACTAGAATATGTCAACCATTCGAGTGGGAGTCGCGTCAAGTCCATGCTTGAGATTATCAAGAACTTAACCGAATCGAGCCATCAATCGAGCCCGAATCGAGTATTCAAGTCTTGTAGATCCCAGTCGAATCGAGCCAAACTCGAATATTAAACTGTTGCGTGTCGTCTGGATTACAGGCCTAATTAGAAGTGCCGTACAAAAGCAATCGTTGAGGGAGAGGGCCGACCGAGACGCCTCATCATGAACTTTGGTTTGGTTAAAGCGAGATAGGTGCTGCGTATCTTTGTCACACAAATCAAGAAGCGATTTTTATAAGATTTCTCGAGCAGCATGTATCATGGATCGTGTTTAATGGGAGGTTGCACCGTGTTCATGCAACCCCACTTGAAATATCTAATAAATCCATACTAAAATTTTGATTAGCAGGACTAAATTATCTTACACTGGTTCTATCATCAACCTTTCTGAGCTAGCATCTTTTTCTCCGGCCTCCCCATATCAATCCTAATCATTAATGTAAACCCAGTAGTCATTAATCCTACTAATTTATCTAAGGGAAGTCAGAAGTTTGGTTTAATCATTGTTTAGATCTAACTTGGGTCGTGGTGCTCTCGTAATAACCACAGATTCGCTGAATTTACTCGTGTGATCAACTTCCATCAGTTCTGAGCTAATCAAAGTTGATTAACCAAGAAGACGCCCGCCTCCCTTTCCAGCTTTCCATTGCATGTTTCGGAAAGGGGAAGTCACCCATTGCCTCTTTGCTTTCAAACTTTACAGATCAAAAGAGAAGTGAGGTTCAACAACCTTCGCTATACAACAAGGTGGAATTGAATTGCCACCACCTAAACCGGGTGGGTCGTCACGTTCAATTCATCCGCTACAGGCAATTTCATGCAATTGCAATAGATCAGTCGAGACCTGCTTACATAATAGTCCTTAGAGTTCGTAAACGCTTCAGTTCAAATCCTTGGCAGTTCACATGCAGGTGATGCGGCAGCCATCATGAAAGTTATAGGAAAGTTGGGATCATAGAAATAGTTTTTACTACACTTGACTTCATGAGGTAGCTACAGAAGACAAAGCATCTTCAGGACCACATGTACTGGAACCGTTCCTGGCTGTAGAATACATACATACGGCTGTAGAAAAAACAAAGACATCTCAGGTAAATCTGCTTAAGATGTTTATTAACAAACTGGAAAGAAGAGGGGACACAATCCGTCCACATCACAAGTGGTAGATGAAAGCAGCATTTTGTCCTTCAACAATCATGCTCTGATGCTATTGCCGCTGAAAAGTTTATTCACGAGAAAACCAGAAAAATTTCAAAAACTCCTTCTGTGGCAGAGAAGAAATGGTAACTGATGCTCGTTCAAAGTTTTGGTGGGTTTCAAAGGCTTGACCTATAAATTACACAGGCATTTTGAATCACAGAACTCAAAACTCTTCTTTGGAAGCATTAATCAGTTACCACCAATATTCCTAGGATTGTAAAACAAATACCGAGTACAGAGGGTTTGCCATACTGTTGATCGAAACACATTTCTACACAGTACAGACTCTACTGAAGGCCTTAGCAGGTGCCAGGGAGACAATTAAGCTATGGGCTCCTTAAGGTAACTCTTTTCAATGCCAAAAGCAATGGTTCGAGGTGAAATTGAACATCAGGATAATGAACCAACATGGAAGAATATGCACGATCAGTTGTATACTAACTGAAAGTCACGTAAAAACCATCCACAAAACCCCCAAGCGTTGCTCCACTGAGCGAGCTGGAAATTGCTTGAGCCATCACTGTTCTTTAGCCTTCTTCCGTGCCAAGAAGCGTTCTTTAGCCGCAGCAAGAGCATCCTGACTTCTTTTATGATGGACAGGTGGTGGTTGATCAGAGGAGGATGGTTCAGGTTTTTCTTCTGCAGAAGCATCAGCAACCTGTGTCTCACGGATAGCTTCAAAACTCTTCTTAGAGTCAGGAGAAGCTTCAGCTTGAAGCCCTTCTGGCGTTCTAGAAGGTTCTGTATGAGAGTTTTTGGTGATCGATGAAGGACCTTCTCCAGATATATTGACATTCATTTTCTCTTCGTGCTTCTCAGGCTTTTGTAACTCGACATGCTTCTCAGGCTTCTTCAACTCGGCATGTTTCTCCATTTTTCTTGACTCAAGTGCACTAGCACCGAATGCGACATTTTTCTCAAGATTGAAATAGAAGTCAGTCAAGTCTTTCTTCTTGGTTACCTATAACAGAACAGCGAAAATATTAAAATGGCAATCAGCACATATTTCTTAAAAGTGGCTGGCAAACTCCATCTAGAAAAGAGGACAAAGTATAGGGACAAAAAGTCTGCAGCGAGCAATTTGACTAGCCAACGGACTCCTGTATCTTTTGTGTGTGCAAGTGAGTCTTCTAGGAAAAACTTGTTGCCACAGTGATCGATATAAGATAAAGAAACTAGTTGACGTTAAAGTGCATCAAGCGATCAAAATTCTCCGATAATTATGGTACAAATGCGGGTAACTTTCAGTATGATTGTAAATATGATAACGTGTATTATAACAGGAGTATCGTCATTGACCTCAAGTAAGGAAAGATCTGTAAAATCATACTGAACTTGCTGGACCTCACAATGCAACTGCTGTATGTGCATTGTTGGTTATTCAATCATCAGTAATTATGGGAATAACTGATTAATGCTGCCAAAACAAGCTAGTGACAATTCAGATTTTATGCTGGAAGGCTGTTAACACAATGAATTTACCCGAGTGCCTTTATCAACACCTAGACTGGACTCTCCTATAAAGCAGGAAACTTTTGTAGGAACTCAGGGTACGGCTGGTCAAGATGCCCAGACAAATGCAAGAGTATGGCCAGCACTAGATGACAGGAAAAGATGTTTCATAGATATGATATACAAGATTGTCACCAGAGTCCCACAGCATATATAGCAGCTAAACGAACAGAGGCACATGCAGGTATGCAAGTTCGACAGGAAAAGAAACATACATCATCTTTCTCTTCTCGAATTTGCCGTAGCCGCTCCTCCTCCATCCATTTTGCTTGCTCTGCAAGTTTCTTTTTATATGCACTCGTTACAAATTTGTCCTTGTCGGCATAGAGGTGGTCTTCTGTGCTCCTCTCTTTGGCCAGCTTTCTCTCATATACTATTTCCTGTTCCCTCTGTCGTTGTTCTGCCTTTTTAAGCAATTTCTCGATGTATTTCGGCTGTAAAAGGGAGAAACACATTGTTCAGACCTAGTCAAAAGGAATAAACAGAGAATAGAAGAAAAATAACCCAAGGGGTAATCTTTCATTGACATCAAATTATAAGGGAAAAATCGTAGTGAAAGGTATTCGCTGCCCAATTAAGATTTTAGAAGATAACACCTGCTTTTCCAAAATTATCACCAGTATCGTATACCCTAACTATCTAAGCAGACTTTGTGTTAATTAGTAGAGAAAATTCACTATAAAGCAGTAGGTTCCAACCATAGAGGAAAGAAGTTGATGGCCCAAAAAGAGAGGATGGCTGGGATATGCCATTATCCCAGTCACTAAGTGTTACATACTCGTCAAGTTTCCTATATAAACCAACCCTGTAGGATTAGTGTATACGAAAATCACTTGACCACCTTCATCTCACATCTCATGAAGAAAACTAGTAGGTGGAAATCTCAAATCTCGTGTAAGTCATTCACCGCAGTAGTTTCCGACCATAAATAAGACATTCCCGATGATGTGTGAAAATTAATGAGTATTTTTACTTCAAACGAGAGGATATTCAATCATAACCTACATACTTTGAAAGATTTGACCCATTGTTTTTTCATCCAGCATGAGAGATAAGAAAGTGGGGTTTTTCTCCCCAATAGATAAAAAAAAAAAAAAAATTCAACTACAGGGCGCAAAGGGGGTGCAAACACATATATAAGAAGAGCTCAAAAAACTAGAGTCATACATGAAACAGCTCCCATGCTGTAGTTTGATTCGAGGATAAATCATCAAATATATCAACCAAGGCAGTTACATCCACAAGCAAAGTTTCCACTAAACCAAAGTGTAAACTTTAAGGTTGATTTTCAATAAAAAAAAGAAATGGGAGATTTTATGCTGGAAAAAGAAAGTGGGTTTCCAAATAGCAGAAACAAACAAGGAGTGTCTTCCAGCACAGAAGCATTCGATCCGGAGGTAAGCCAACACAGATTTGCCCTGGTTTGAAACCGTATGCCACTCAATCAAAGAATTAAACTGGATGGAGTGCGCTAACACTAGCAACTCTAAGCACGTTTCGAATGAAGTCTTGAAAAACTGCATGAACTAGAAATTCTTTCACTTTCAAGTGCATCCAACATCAAAGAAATTCATACATTGGAACAGTCCAAAACTCGACGACGAAGCCAATTCATGAAAAGAGATCCTCAAACAAACCATGTATTAGGGGAAGGTATGATGCATCCTCAGTCAGCTATTCATGCTCATTATTCACAGATCAAACATTTATTACCAAGGACAGGACAATGTAACTCTTGCTTAACCCTTCTCTTCCCAGGTTAACAAACAAATTCCCACTTGAAACTCAACTGGGAATATAAGACAAAACAAAGAGCGAGTTACCTTCCTTTCTTCGCGATCCAAGGCCCGAGGTTGAGCTACTTTCGCCTTCATGTCATCATAGACGCCGTCATAATCAAAGACCGACGGATCCTCCTCCAACGCCTTCCTGTGCTGTTCCTCAATCTTCACAATTCAAAAGACAAGCGCGTAAGGGGAAACTCCGAGAAAGAGGAGGGGACAATACGACCGGAAGCCAAAGGGCTAGGGCACCGCAAAACTCACTTCTCGGAGAGCCCTGTTCTTGGCGGACTGGCGAGCGATCTCGCTCTCGACGCCGTCGTCGTCGCCGTCGTCGTCGCGGAAGCCGGCCGGAGGGGGCAGAGGCGGCCGGGCCGGTTGCTTCTTCTGCTGTGACGGCGGCGCCCGAAGCTGCAAACCGTACTTCTTCATTCCCTTTCGTTGCGCGAGCGCGTCCGGCTCCGATGCGGCCGAATTGGAGGCGACGAGCGAGTTGTCGGCGACGAAGGTCGATGGAGTAGACAGACGAACGGTGGGTAGAAACGGGCGGCGAAGCCCTGGTCACGGCGGTGCTCGAGGTTGAGGACGGAGCCGCCGCTGAACGATCAACCGGACAAGAAGATTTTCTATAGCGATTTTACAATTTCTTCCACATCTCTTAACTGTTAAATATTTCGACCAAAAAAAAAAACGGAAAAAAACCACCAAAAATCCAAAACTATACCACTTGTGATAAATTTACCCTAAACTTTTTATTGTGACACGAAAAACCTCAAATTATATAACACATTTACCCAGTTATACTTTCTCCTAGGGCATTTTCGTCTTTTTCCTTTTTCTTTTTTTTTTCCTTTCTTCTTCTCTCTTCTCTCCGCCGTGCCCAGGCGAGGGCGGCCCTCACTCGCCTCGCTCGAGGGCCGCCCTCGTCGGCAAGGGCAGCCCTCGCCCAACCCCAACGCCGGTGAGGGCGGCTCTCCGCCGGCTACGGCGGAGGGAAGAGAGAAGAAGAAAGGAAAAAGATGAAAATGCCCTAAAAGAAAGTATTATGGGGTAAATGTGTCACAAATGACATAATTTGAGATTTTCGTGTCACAAAAGGAAGTTTAGGGTAAATTTGTTACAGGTGGCATAGTTTGGGATTTTTTGTGGTCTTTTTTCAAAAAAAATTATTAAATATTATTTTACTGTTTATTTTGTTACTTAATCGGCGATGCACTATGATTTATTTTGTCAGAATTTTATTTTTGAAACACTTGAAAATGGCAAAAAAAAATGGCATGTTTCGCATAAATTTTGACGAAAATAATCGAGTTACTTTTTGTTATCTTTCTTAAATCATGACATAACTCGATCTCATGACTTATCAAGAGTAGAAATCTTAAAACATTATTTGTCTAGTAACGACTTTCTCATTGAAATTTGAACTCGAAACATATAATTTAGAATAATGAAAAAATATGAAAATTTTATCCGTGATGCCATGCATCAACATTTAAAATAATTTGAAAAGTTCTTAAAAGCCTTTGAAATTTGCATTTCTTCACCGGCCTTGAACCATGTCGCCCGAACAACGGGCAAGACGATTCCACATATTGAGATCGGGATGGAATTGGGTGTTTTCACATCTCACCACAGTGCTCGGTTTATGTTGATTTCCGATTGATGAACTAAAAGGAAAATGAAATTCTTGGATTTTTTGACTCGCCCCGGTTACTTATCCAAAACAGCCATGGCTAGCCCGAAGCATGACTTATCATAAAATTTGATGAAATATAGTTACGAGTGAAATTCATAAAGTGAAAGATAACTTAAACATTATAATATACAATACTAAAACTAAATTAAACTCCTATTTTTCCATTGCTATAATTTCGAGAACTAATTTTGAAACACAATAAAGCAAAAAAAGAGAAAAATCGAGAAACCAAAATCGTTCGCGGAGGCTCCGTCATTGCGTCCTCGTCTTCTTCTTCCTGCTTCGATCTCCTCTGCAAAAGGTCAGTCCCTCTTTCTCTCCGAAACCTCGTCAAATTTTGAGGAGCAACCGTTCGATTCTGCTGAAAAACATGTCTTGATGGATCGATGAAACGATAGCGGTGTCGAATCTCCCTTCGCGTTGTCGGGATTACTTTGCCCGAGCAATCGAGCTGTTGCTGTACGTGAGACTGTCAATCCGTAACCAAAGATGCTCCCTTTTCGGCCGATAAGTATCGACAAATGCGTGGTTCGTGTACAGAATGCCTGGTCGGCTGAATTTGTCGGTGATGTTGTTGGAAGGAAGTAGGAAATGGGTTCGATGAGACCGCGATGAATGGATGGACTGTTTGTGCAGTCATGGTTGTCTTGTGATTTGTAGATGGGAGTCACCATTGGCTAGCTGGAGTAGTTTAGTTGGAAGACGTATGAGTGATCTGGCCCTCTGCTATAGAATCTGATAATACATGGGCTGGATATCTTAATCGGAAGATTTATGTGACAAGGATAAGCATGGGCTGGATTGGCTACTGACATCGCACTATCGCCTTTTGCCTGATTCTGTGGTCTTCTCTGTGGGGCTTCCTTTTGCCGGAGACATCAAACTATTCTTGCATATCATGAAACTATGAAATACTGGCATAGACCAAAGATAGTTCTTTTTTTTTCAGCTGATTTGGTGCTGACGATTGTGTTGTGGAGATTGCCCTGTTCTGTTGAATGGGATGGGATGGGGATGATAAAAATGTGCCTTATTATGATGTAGTGTTTATTATTTTGGCAGGCATCTTGCCTTGGCTAGTGATTTGCAGATGGAAGACAATGTGGCCTAGTTGGAGTAGTTTAGATGGGAGAATAAGTCATCTGGCATTTTGCTTTTAGAATCTGGTGGCATTTTCGTATATCTTAAACCCGGTCGAATGATTATTTGGGAAGAAAAAGGCATGGATTGGTTGCCAACATTGCACTATCGTCTTTTGCCTCATTCTATGGTGTTTCTGGTTATAAGGTTATCGCGAATGTTGTGTTTGCATATTTAGGTTGTTTCCAAGAAGTGAGAAAATGAGGGGATACATGTATGACCAATGCATGGGGTTTTCCATTACCAAGTCTGAACCTTCCGTTATTTTCTGTTCAGAATTCATAGTGGAGACCTTCATGGTGACATTTCTTTTCAGTGTTTGGTACATGTTTTTGTCTGTCTTCCATGGGTGCATGGGGACTTTAGGACAGGAAAGGGCGGATATTATGTTGACACGTGTCTTTGGGGAGTGATGGAAATAGTAAGCTGGTATCTAGACTTTTAAGAACAGAAGATGATCAATCAAATACAATGCTGGTCATGAAGATGAATATGCACTTGACTCTGCACAAATATCATAGAAGAGGCCAATGCCTTTTTTTACTCAGTTTCCTTGTTATTTACAGTTTCTTAGTCTAGGCAACGATTACAAGATGTTCTTTCCAACAAACTTTGAACTGTGATCAGCACTTGCGGAATATGCATAAGTTAGCTTGCCCCTCCTGGTTTGTCATACTTGATTTACAATTGGTGTTATTATGTCCATGCAACGCATTCCCTGCTTCCGGTCCTCCAAGCTGTGCAAAGTATTATTTTTTCTCGAACATGTCACATAATTTCGTAAGTTTTTTGTCTCTCTGCATACATAATCCGACCTTTGGATGCGACCGGACAAGATCTTTATAATGGACTCCTTTTTTCAGATTCCAACTAGAATGCCTGTGAAAAAATGGATTTATAGAGTTGCCATTTGAGCCCTCCTAGGAAATGTCTAAATCTTTTGCCATTTCTAATCTGTCTTCGGTTCCTAGATATACCTGATGATGCTTGTCTGCTGCTGAACAGGTTCTCAGAGCATGGGAAACAAGCCTGTGAAACAAGAAAGGGAAGAGATTCTCTTGAAGGTCGTACCACCTCTTGACCGTGCATATGTCCGGTGGCTTGCACGGGATCTAGAAATGATCCATGGCTTCACTCCAAGGAAACCCCGTGCCATAAGGCCACCGGATCACTACATCGAGTACATGCGCTTGAATGGGTGGCTGGATGTAAACTTGGATGATCCTGATTTAGCACACTTGTTTAAGTAGATAGATCAATTTCGCGGTAGAAAAATGTTGCAATAACTGCTGGGTACCCTTTTAAAAGCGCAATGAGCGCAATGCTTGGCATGTTCTGATGTTATTTCTTGTTCAAATGGATTACGAGTGTTCATTCAGATGAGTTCCCAGCACTTGTGCTCTCTTCCAGCAGGAGTTTTGTCTCCTGTTTGTACTAATGGAGTGCAAAGAATGTCCTCTCACCCCCCTCCTTTTCCCTTCTAGATGGCTTTCAAATTGATCTGTAAGCTGATAAGGCTGAATTGGCTTAAGCCAGGCAACCCATCAAACCGAAAATTTGGGATCATTCTTGGATGCTGGAGTGGATAACCCCCAGTTGAACTCTATTATTGTGAATTGAAGCGGTCTCATATGAAATCTAAATAATTTAATGATTGGAGAATCGAGTGAGCTCACGGGATTTAACTATTGAAATCAAGTGGACTCACGTGCATTAAGAGCATTTAAGAATATTTTGAAAATTTAAGCTAATTTCATATACGAAAGTAGGTTGTAAAGATGCTATTGGGTGCTCTCAGTGCATATGACAACGTCTGGTTTTCTCTCCCAAATTGTAGGGTGATTCTAGTAGATTCGAAGAAGTTATTAACGAGTGTGAAAATCTCACTTGTCAATCGGCCGAATCAATTGTCTCTTTGTCGATTAGTATGAACCGAGGGCAAATATTATATCCTTTAGGTTCCGTTTATTTTTGGGAAAAATGAATAATTTAAAAAACATTTTTCTAAAATCGATCGCTTTTCTCGCTTAATATAATTAGCCACTAAAATATATTTTTATCGTACACGGAAATTGATGTCTAAACATTTTCACGAGCGATGAAAAATATTTTTTATTATTTCTTTTTATAAACTATATAAACCATCATTTCAAAAAAAAAATATTATTCAAATCATTTATTTTTCGTTCAATAAACCCATTTTTAAATTTTAAGGCTCAAGATCCTAGCCAGTGGATGCTTGCACCATGCAAAGGTAAACATTCAAAGGAAAGGGCGGTTGTTTTTGGCTTTCTACATTTATATCTAAAGCTCAGAGATCTATAATACCCAAACAAGGCCCATATATCTCCTTGACGTGACCTTTTTTTTTTACCATGAATTTTTCGCTTTTTCAAATTTTGACTCTATTTTTCACCAATTTTTTTTTTTTACTCTATTGTTATTTCATATTTTAATTTTAAACATAATGCGAAATTGGTAAAACCGTTCTAAACTCGATTTTAGATACTTTTTAGCAAAAAAAAAAAGAAAAAAAAAGAAGATTGGCAAAAGCAAAAGGCATTGAGAAAAAAAAAAGAAAAAGAAGAAGGACGACTGAGGTGACGCGTGCGAGTGGCGGTACTGAATGATGAGAAGTTGACATCTTGTGGTGGAGCAGCGCGTGGGCGAAACTGGGGAGCGCGTGGGCGGGATCCGCGCGTCGGCTTCACTCGCCGCGGGTACGGTTCGTGCGGAGTTCGCGCCAAATAATCGCCCCGCTTTTTTGCTAGCTACCCCCGCCGATTGATCGCCGCTTGTTAAAAAAAAGGGCGCGCGTAATGCGGCCCCCCCGATTCGAACCGCCTCGATTCCGCGGGACGAGACGCTCGGCTTCGTCCCGACGAGTCATACAATTAATGAAATCGATCCTATCCGTCGCGTCGTTTTGAGCTTATAAAATTTCTTGGAAATTTCGCTGCCCAAAACCATTTTCCTCTCAATTTTCCAAATGAAAAGGAAATGAATTCGCGCAAAAATGCCGGTTTATGTATCTTATTCACACGTCTCGGGGTTTGGGAGTCGCTTGCATTAAGCACGCGGACTCCACTTTTTTCGCAAATACAGGATCCATCGACCGCCTCGAGAGTCGGGCCAAATCCGTGAGACGATCGACGTTCCGACCGGACTCCGTTTTCCTTGAATTGTGTACCCCCGGCCTATAAGATTTGTCGGTTAGGATCAGTCTGGCAAGTAATGAATCGTCGAGGAGCTCAACGGGGACCCGGACAATAACTTGAAATTACATACGCCGCATACTACATGCATACCCCGTACGATTCTTCTCTTCTTGTTCATCTCTCTTCAGATCGGATATACACAAATAACCCAAATTTAAGGTAACTTCTTATATTATCAGGACCCAAATGAGAGAACCTTCTAATTTATAGTTGATCTGTAGCATACTCCATAACCTCCTTCTTCTTCTCCTTTTTTTGGTAAGTCGCTCGGTTACGAATATGAAGTACTCCATGAACTTTTAGTAACATGCCTCTATTCAGTAATTTTTCCCGAGAATAAAAAAAAAAGAAGAAGCTACTATCCTGTAATTTTCGGTGAGATTTTAGGGGAATTACAATAAAAAAAAGAAGAAGAAGAAGAGGAAAATAGATTAAAAAAAAAGGGAAAAAGAAGGCCAAAGAGAGAGGCAGCTTCCCTCCACATCTTATATCCGAACCAAATTCCCTCCTCCGCCCCCCCTCCTCTCTCTCTCTCTCTCTCTCCCTCTCCCTCTCCCTCTCTTCTTCCCTCGTTTTCTGCTCTCCCTCTCTCTCTTTACCCGCTTTTTTATTTTTTGTTTCTTCCTCCCTTCCTCCCTCCCTCCCTCCCTCCCTCCGCACCGAAATCCCTCCTCTCGCTTTCTCTCTCTAGAATCCCCTCTCTCTCGCTCTCTCTCTCTCCCGCCCTCTCGATCCCCCTCCCGAATACCCCACCTGGCCCTCCGATTCTCGGCGTCTCCTCCGCCAGCCGCCAGCCGCCAGCCGCCCTCGCCCCTCGCGCGGGAAACCCCAGCTCCTCCTCCGCGCCGGAATCCCCGTCCCCCCCCCCCCCCCCCCCCGCCCGCCGCCGATCCTCGCCCGATGACCGATCGCTCGGCCCCCAAGCAGCCGCCGCGCCCGGCCCCGCCCCAGCCGAAGCTGCAGGGCCCCCTCGACCGCCAGTTCCCCTTCTCCTCCGTGAAGCCGCCCTTCGTCGCTCCCCCCGACTACCATCGCTTCTCCTCCCCCGAGGCGCCGCCGCGCAGGGTCGCTGATCACGAGGCCGACGCTCTTCTGGTTCGATCCCCGGTGAGTGGACCTCTCTCTCGATTTGCGCGCGCGCTTGGCGCGGTTTTCTTCTTCTTTTTGGGGCTTTTGCTGAATTGCGGTGAGATCCGCTTGGGTTTTGGTGCCGGTAGCTTGTTCTGAGCTCGGCTGCTTCGGATTTCGTCTCCTTTTGTGGGGGTGCTGCGTCCGATTCTGGTTGAGGTTCCAATATTCGATTTTTCATGTTGGTTTTAGTAGCTACAGTGGGTTTGATACGCTTTGGTCAAAATTGGAGTGTCTTCTCTTTCTACGAGGAGTTAGTTTACTTCACAGAATTCACGATTTCGTGGTCGTTGTTCCTTTCCTAGGAGTCGGTAAAATGCAGCTGCTCAAGAATTAGTGTATGGACTTAAAACAAGTTGCCTCGAAAGGGGTTGTGCGGCGAAATGACTTTCTTTCGGTAATTCGAAGGACTGTCAAAGTCGGTTGCATTGCAGGTGAATGCATTGAGTTTACGGGGAGACAGACCGCTGGATTTGGGACAATGGATGTGTCTTGGACCGTAGCAGTCAAACCTGCACCGAGGGACAATATTTAATCGTTCTTGTAGTTTTTTAAAGTCAGTTGCTGTCATTCCTGTTGCAGTGATTCTTCCACATCGACCAATCAATTCGTTTTTTAAGTTGATTTTGGATTTAAGTTCTTCCTTTTGTTATTGACAGGAGATCCTCAACTATCTGTTGGATTTCCTCCCCCTCTCCCTGTGGAGGGATGGGAAAAGGTTGAGTAGCTCCATGTTTTTGGCAGTATTCAATTACCCAGACAGACTCTGGTTATCTCCTGTTATATTTTGTTAGAATCAAGGGATGCATGAGGCTAAATAAATATATAAGATGCACTCAAGAGTCATGAGTACTTCTTCATGGGTGTAGTTGTACAGAACACCCCTAATGTTGCGTTTACAATGTTAATACTAGTGTACTAATGGGGTTTGCTACACGTCAACACATGGATGATTAATTTTTTTTCGGATTCTGGGCTCTCTTTGAGTTCGAGTAAAGTTAAGTTCTGCTTTAAATTACTGTTAAATAGATGAGGTTATATAAATTTGTTAACTTTTTGTTGTGCTGCCCAAATTGCTTTCATTAGGTTAGGGATATAAAATTTTGCGGGGGAGCTTGAACTCTTCTATACTTTAGGAAACTTTATGCTTGTCCTTTATAGACAACATAAGATGGATCGTCCTTAATTCATGTGAAACCGCGGCTGTCCGTTTCATGAACTTTCTTCTTATTTGTGTTCCTTTGACTTTTTTCACTTTGCCCTTGTGCTCTCTTCCTCCATACTTCTTTCCGGGGTTCTTTTCTCAGCCTCTTAGGTGGCCATTCTTTGTTATGCATCTCTTTTGATGTCTGAATAGGCTGACGAAGTTTAAATCCGTATGTGATGGACACACATGTTGTCACACACAAATGAAGTCCGGATATATATATCACCATTACATATCATCCATGCTAAATATAAGTTGTTTAGACATGTTGCTAATAAATCTCTGTATGGCTTGATCAGCAACTGAAGCGGAAAAGTGACACAGTAGATGGCAAGGCAGAGCAAAACGATTGGTCAGCTGGAGCTGGTTATGCTGAAGTTGTCAGTAGTCCCGTTCAGACGCCTGTATCAGGAAAAACAGCGAAGGGAAATAAAACTTCAAGGATCACAAAGAACAATAGATTAGGACCTCAAACTCCTATCTCAAATGCTGGTCAGTTGAGGATCTTTAGTGTGTGTTCCACCTACATTAACCTGAAGCTTAGCTCATGCATAAGCCACTTACGTAGGGAAATAAGGATACAGTATATGGGGTTTGCTTTCGCCCTATACACATTGATCCTAGAATAATTTCGATTATAAGATTGGCTCAGCATTTATTGTTAATTTCGTAGGTTCTCCATCTGGCAATAATCTTACTCCAGCTGGTCCATGTCGTTATGACAGCTCTCTAGGTAACTTGGGCTTTCGTCAGACAATTAAAAGACAAAACGAAGCACATAAATTACATCATTTACAATGTTTTGTATTTCTCTTCCAGGTCTTTTAACAAAGAAGTTTATCAATCTGATAAAACGTGCTGAAGATGGTGTTCTTGATCTAAATAAAGCTGCTGAGACTTTAGAGGTAAGTGTAACTGTTTCGCTTTCTGCTATATCTCATTTGCTGATGCGATGCACTTTACTAGAGGATATGATGTTGCTATAGGTGCAAAAGAGGCGAATATATGACATAACAAATGTCCTTGAAGGCATTGGGCTTATTGAGAAGAAACTGAAGAACAGAATTCAGTGGAAGTAAGCAAAAGCAAATGTTTTATTGGATTCTTCAGATTTTGATTTTAATAGACTTAGAAAGTTGTCCTAGCAAACAAGTGGATACTAAAAGCTTGGTCTTCTATAAATCAGGGGACTGGAGGCTACAAGGCCAGGGGAGATTGACGAAAGTGTCACTAGCTTACAGGTATCCACGACTTGGTCTTTTTTTATGCTAATGCTTCGATGACTTCAGTTTTGAATGGCAGAAGCTTTTGTTCATGTCGGCCCTTTTTCAATGATTCTTCTTCCTGCAATTTTTTCTTCTTTGGCCTTTATATTTGACATGGAGGAGATTGGAATCCAAAAGTATCACGAGGTCAATGATTTTAACTTTCTTTCAACACTATCACTTTCATATTATCTAGGTCCTTAGACGTGATTGCCAGGTTCCTTGACACTTTTCTTAATCTCTCATTTGGCAATTTATTTTGCAGACTTTGTCCATACCCCGTAAAGAAAGAATTAAGGGAGACATTACTGACTTTCTAATCCAAATTGTTTACCCTTTCCCTCCATTGTCAGGCACAAGTTGAAAGCCTTGTGGTGGAGGAACATAGGCTGGATGAACAAATAAGGTGGGTTATCTTGGAACTGCTATTTTTCAATTCTCTCTCTATGATCTTATAGCCTTTGCCTATTATGCTGAGGCATCTACATCTTTGCAGAGAAATGCAGGAGAGATTGAGGGATCTCAGCGAAGATGATAACAATAAAAGGTAGAATTTGACCCGTGAGGACTTTCTTTGTTGATTGTGCGGATCTTTGGATTGACCCACCGCCACCTTTATAGGTTGCTTTTTATTACTGAAGACGACATCAAGGCATTACCATGCTTCCAGGTTAAAATCTCTCCTTGGCCGTTGGGGGTAGTATAAATAGGCGTCTTTCTTGGTTTCTGTGCATTCGCCAGCAGCTTTCACCTAAGCTTATTGTTAATGTAATGCATTTATTTTGTCAGAATGAAACTCTCATAGCAATAAAAGCTCCCCATGGTACAACTCTAGAAGTTCCAGATCCTGATGAGGTAAATTAATACCTGACAAGTTAGTATAACAGCAAAGACCTCCTTTGATGTGTAAAGCATCGATGACCAGTATCCTTTTAAACCTTATGGCCCCAGGCGGTTGACTATCCCCAAAGAAGATATAGGATTGTCCTCAGGAGCACAATGGGTCCTATAGACGTTTATCTTGTTAGGTACTTTCTTTTTACCTCTCTTTTTTGGGTAGTCGTCACTATTGCTTCTTTCTTGGTCATAACTTCTGCAAAAGCATGCTCCTGAAAATTGGTGGTCAGCTGTTTAGGAAGTCCCAACTTCCACATACTTGATCACCTCCCCCTGACATTGTTAATTACAGTCAATTTGAAGAGAGGTTTGAGGAGATTAATGGCGGCGAGGCAACTCCAAGCGTTCAACCAAGAGTTAACGAGAAATCAGCGACAACTATGGCCCAGGAAGACTGCAGCAGACAGCAAAATGAAATGCAAGGCCAACTTGCTGACATAGCTTACTCAGATTTTAGTACCTCCCAAGACATGGTGGGTGGATTTATGAAGATCGTTCCTTCGGATGTTGATGTAAGTGTTCCTGTAGCCTGCCTAGTAATATGGCTTCTTGAGGATGGAGGTTCCAATGAAAAAAATGTTTTAGTCTCCTCAGTGGAATTAGAAAAATGGACGATGTTATAGACAAAGTAGATTATCTGATGATGGGACAATGAGAAACTGCAGAGTTCTCTGTATACCTATAAAATGCTGGAATCTGAGTTCTCGGGTTACTAACTGTCACTAATTTGCATTATTACTTTGCCTTCTCCTGACAGAGTGTTGCAGATTATTGGCTCTTATCAGACGCAGATGTTAGCATCACGGACATATGGAGGGCAGAGTGTATCCTTTTGCTTAAAATGCTTCGTTTTGCAGCCTTATTTTCTTCACCTTTTATTCTCCACAGTATCCACTGTACTACTGGCAGTTGAACCTCCTTAAATTTCACTCATAGCTGGAGTTCAGTGGAATGGCTTGGGTTCACTTCATGATGACTACGGCATGGCTAATGTCAGTACACCTCGGGCCCAAACTCCACCACCCAATGCAACAGAAGTACCTGCTGCCGCCACTTCTCCGGCATGATAAGCAGCATCAACTCTTTCAGGAATCATGGACCAGTTTCACATGCAAAACAATGACATCTTGTCGTTTCCCGGACCTGTTCTGTCATGGAGATTGCTGGGTTCAACAGTTGGAGGCGGGAAATTCCCCTCACCTCATCCCTCAGAGCGCTGTGGAGAAATCTGTCCAGTATAATATACCCTGAGGGGACCAGGTTTATGTACAGATGATTAGCATGCATAAATTCATGTGATTTTGCAAGCATGTAATAAAGCGCGCATATGTTAAGCTTATGCATGTATATCGTTCCATGTCCTTGTCATGATTTATTTTAGTGTCGGATCTTTGTACTCCAGCTCTTCTAGAAATGGGAACCCGTTGCATTTGTATTTGGCATCTGATGTTGGAAGTTTCTGTCAAGAATCATCAAATACTCTGCCTTGTGAGATCTTCAGCAAGTTATGACGGGAGATTTGTCCAAGAATAATTTCAGCAGACTCGATTAATCCCAGTTTAAATGACTGGAGGAGCTCACAAAGATTAAATTCCTCTCTTGTTTGCCGGAAATGCGTTTTCTGTTTTCCGGTACTCTAATTGACAAGTATTGCGTGTTGGTTCTAGAATTGATTCAAGAGATTTTCAACAAGCAGCACAAGCCAACGTTGTCTGGCCGAAAAGGTATTGAAAAGGTATTGTAATACGATGAGCCATAATTTGTGCCGAGAGAGATGTCAAAAAGTATGTTCTACAGCTATCACATGTAATGATACAGAACCATGGGAATCAATGTGCAAATCACTTCTCCTTATCAACTACTTTCTTCCCGATCCAACCGGCAACTATGGGAGTGAGGGCCACTGTCGGAGGAAACCGGATTGGGGAAGCGGCTTTGTGCGCGGCGTACGCCAAAGCAAAGGTTCCAACCTTCTCTCCGGTCGCATCCACCGAAATTCCCACCTGCAACCAAAAGACCCCATGAGCTATGACTCCAACCAAACATTTCTAGGCAATCTGCGAAGGCGCAATGCCTCGAAGTTGCGAATTACCTTCTGCAACAGAGCTTGTACGTCGATGCCGGCGCCGATGAGGGCGTAACAAAGCGAGAATGAGATCAAGGAAAGAGTAATGGAGGTAGCTAGGTATGCTCCCCCGTATTTTGCAAGGAGTTTCTTGGCTTGATCTGTCTTTGACTTCTCCGCAGTACCTCCCTTTCGTTCCTCTTTTGAACTGAATATCTGCACATGATCAACAAAGCACACTTGCCAATCATACTTCCAACTCACCAACACAAGCAATTTGTTCACTATCAGCATCACTAGATTGATAATGGGGTTCGGTTATATGCCCGTCTGCTCCAGCAAACATCAGATATTATTCATGTTTAAACTGAAGAGATCACAAGAGAACTGTCATCAAAAAATAAAAAATAAAAAATAAAAAATAAAAAATAAAAATAAAAAGGCACCGGGCTTTATCCTATCCATTCAAACAAGGCCTGGAACAAATTCGAACGTTACAATAGATAAGAGAACGAGCCCAGAAAGGCAAATCACGCTGCAACTCAATAAGCTTCATCAAATTCAAAACATGGCGAGGATTGCCGAGTGAAGCAGAAGAAGGGCGAGCGAGCTTTGAATTTCACCTGCCAGAGACCAGCTTCGAGGCCGTACTTCTTGGTGGCCTCATCCGCCGACGCAGGCGGCGGAGACGGGTCTCGGGCTTCCTTCGTCTTCTCCCTGATGGCCCTCACCGCGGCGCGATTCCAACTGGGTCCCCGGGGTCGCGGCCAAGAAGAAGCGGAGGAGCAGAGTCCGCCTCGCCTCAGGCGCGGAGACGGAGGAGAACAGCGGGAGGAAGAAGAGAGAGCGGGAAGCAAATTCACCGCCTCCATCTTTCAGCCAAATCAGAAAGTCCCAGCGCCTGAACCCAACTTCTAACCCAACTTCGTGCTTCTGATCATTCAAGAAAGGTGAAGACTTGATTGCTCTTGTGATGAACGAGGGGGAGCCTCAATCGACCACGAGAAGGCAGGGAAAGCAGGGGGGAGGCAGAGGATGAGGATGGAACTTACATTTGTAGCCCGGGAAGAGCCCCACCGTTTCCCTCCGCGCCTGTTGCTGTCCGGAGGGTTATTTTGGTAATTGCGGGGCCTCAATGTGATTTGGGCAAAGCCTCCAATCAAATGGCCAGAACAGGAGCCAAGTAGCAAGATGAGGGCTTCACATATTCACAAATAGGAGACTTTTCGGTTTTTTTTTTTTGGTCCTTCTTTTTTTATACTAGTTTTGGTATTTGCTTTTGACATTGTATTTATCTTAACAGTTAACGCCACGAAAAACCTCAAACTGGTATATTTATGATAAATTTACCCCAAATTATTTTTTTTTACTACAAAAAACTTCAAACCAGTATACCTGTGACAATTTTACCCTGAACTATTTTTTTGACCATAAAAAATCTAACACTGGTACACCTGTGATAATTTTACCCCGAACTAATTTTTGACCATGAAAAACCCTAAACTGGTACACCTGTGATAAATTTACCCTCCGTTAGTTTTCATTAAATTTTACTGTCAAATTGCTAAGTTTGATGACACGTGGTAGTTGACGGGTGTACCAATTTGGGGTTTTACCCCTCTGTTTGTTACAAGTTTGTCAATTTGTGATTTTTCGTGATATTAATCCAATTTAACGAATACTAACAGAGAGTAAATTTGTTACAAATGTACCAGTTTGGGGTTTTTAGTGGTTAAAACATTAGTTCGGGGTAAAATTATCACAAGTGTACTAGTTTAGGGTTTTTGATGGTCAAAAAATTAGTTCGGAGTAAAATTGTCATAAGTGTACCAGTGTGGGGTTTTTTGTGATAAAAAAAATAGTTCGGGGTAGATTTGTCACAGGTGTACCAGTTTGAGGTTTTTGGTAGTCAAAAAAATAGTTCGGGATAAAATTATCACAGGTGTACCAGTTTAGGGTTTTTCGTGGTATTAATCCTTATCTTAAAGAGGGAATTTGAAAAGGGAATTCTCTTGTGAGGTGGAGAGCTTGATCCAAGAGGAAGTTGCATGTAATTTTCATTAGGATGTATTTCTTTTGCTTTTACCTTTTTCAAATATCGAGAGTCTAAAGGTGTTTTGGGTGATTTTACTCTCTCTTTTCTTTTTCAAATTATTGCAAATCTTTCAATTCGGTTTTCATTGAAATTGGAATACCCGAAACATTTCGAAATGTAAGACTGTCGACATACACAACTTTTTATTATATATATATATATATATACTGGATATGTAATTTAGATACTTTTTTAAAATTTTCAAACGGGAAAGTCAATGATCCAACCTTTTGCTTACATAAAGAGTCCGTTCGGGACAGTTTCTATTCCACATTTTAAAAACTTTTTTTCAGTTTGAAAAATTAAAATATAATTATATATGATCCTGAATATTAATAATCGAATACTTTGAACTTTGAAAAGTCTTCTTTTTTTTTTGATAACCAACTTTGAAAAGTCTTAGATGCTTTGTGTTCGATAAATACGAAGTGCAACCTTTTGGGAAAATTGTTTAATTATTTAAACTTCTTTGCACTCAGTTACTAGAAAATCATAAACTCATGAACAAAAATAAGTTGTAAACCGAGTGACGATAATTTTCTCCATTCATTTAGTCAAACTTTCGAATGTACAAACTCATTCGCGCTTGCAAGAACAGCAACACACTTGAACTTTATGCGATATGAAGATATATATATCATACGTGCCGCAATTCTTGATTCAACTCTATTCGTAAGTGAATTTATTATTAATCAAGCAAAATAGTCATTTTATTTGTCAAAAATGAATCGTACAATGCGAAAGAGAAATGCCAAGATGAACATCTGCTCTTTTCATTGTCATGCACAAACTTATTGTTTGTTGTACAAGTAAATTCAATGTGTATAGTTTTTTTTTTTTTTGGGGCAAGAATTCAATGTGTATAGCTAAACCGTGGGAAAATGACACAAATAGTATTTGAACTTTGACCCAATATATAGCGTGGTTCATGAATTTTTAATTTGTTCAATGTGATTTCTGATCTTTAGTCTAATGTGCAATGCCGTCCTTGAACTTTGAAATTGATCAATGTGGTCTATGAATTTTTGTTATATGTTCAATTTAGTCCCTAAACTATATAAAAATATTCAATGTTTTTTCTGAACTTGAATTAATGGAAGGACAACATTGAATATATTCATATAGTTCAGGTATTAAATTAAGTATGTACCAAAAGTTTATAGATCATATTAAATGAATTAAAAAGGGACTACATTGCACATTAGATCAAAATTCAAATACTATTTATGTCATTATCCCTTAAACTTAATAAGCCACGTGACATTTAACATGGGATTCACCAAGTTGAGTTATGCAAAGCCATCATTGTCGGCTGCTGAATCCTCGGATAAACGAGCAAGTTCATGTAGGGAATCGACGTCGCCTTCTTCATGATCACCATGACCAGCAAGTCAACTGCTCAGTCCAACTTCGGAGAAAGAACCAACGTTTCGATTCAAGTTTTTCAACGAAGTAGATCAGAATTCATGGCCATTAAACCAATCCGACTTGGTAGATATGATTAACCCTAATCATAATCATAAAATCATCAGCATAACCAACTTCCCCGGATCGCATGCCCTCCGAAAACTTCTCCTATTTAAACCAGAAGAAGAAGAAGAAGAAGAAGAAGAAGGAGGAGGAGGAAGAAGACTCATCTCTCTCTCTATCTCTCTGTGATGCTGTGCAGTGCAGAGTGGCAATGTCTTCCGATAGAAAAGGACTCCTGAAGACCATTTTCACGCCAAATGTGGGCTGTGGGTGTGGGAAGACGAAGCCCTCCGATGCCATCGAACCCACCCCAATCCAACCCAGAAGAGATTCTTCATCGTTCTCACTCCATGACCAGCTCGAGCTCGTCAAGATCAAATCTTGCCCTTGCCCCTCGTCTTCCTCCGCTTCCCACACCACTGCCGCCGCCACAGCCACATTCTCGCTCCCCGACACCGACGCGTCCCCGACCCGCCGCCCCTACCCGGCGGCGCGGAGGTCTGGCATCGGGAACAGCATCGCCGTCGCGAAGGACTCCGACGACCCGTACCGGGATTTCAGGGACTCGATGCTCCAGATGGTGCTGGAGCAAGGGATTTACTCGAGGGACGGCCTGCAGGAGCTCCTCCACTGCTTCTTGAAGCTCAACTCGCCTCGCTACCACGCCGTCATCATCCGGGCCTTCACCGTGATCTGGAACGGCGTCGCTCCCGGCGGCAGCAGCGGCGGCGGCGGCGGCGGCGATCTAGATGTGTCGCCGTCGCCGTCGCCGTCGTCTTTGTCGTCGTCGGGGTGTCACTTGTCAGAGCAATAATCATGATAAGGACGGAGTTAAAGGAGGGTCACGTGAATGAGAGGCTGTGGCCACGTGAGTTCATTTCTTTCGCACTCGTGAAACTTGCCTGGTTCTTTCTTCTTTTCTTTTATCATTTTATTTTTTTATTTATCACTTGTTTATATATATGATAATTTATCATATGACATTACCCGATCATTCCTTGTTTTGTGCCCACCATTATCTCCTGTTAAAAAAAATTCTTCTCATGTTCAATATTGTCAAATCTCTTGTACTCACAATTTTTAGCCTTTGGACCAAATCCAAAGTTTGAGAACGACATTGTCCATCGTGTCATTTTCCCAAATATTCAATTACTTTCGGTGGGAAAATCTACCAATTGGCAGCGCCAATATTTACTACAAGGACATAGCAGTTGTATTGTAGGGACTGTCTTCAAAGGCCCAAAGGCATGCTCTACATCTCCATTTCTTCTTTGGCAAAAAAGATGAAGAGATGAAACAGCAAAACAGAACCAGGTCAAACAGGAACATGCTCCAGAACAAAATAGTTCATGGTGGATGGTTCGAGAAATGCATCATTTTTAGAACCGAAACTGTGATCCTTAGAAGCCACATTCGACGGGACAAGGCGCCAAGACTCGACACAACCGCAGAGACAGGATATGGGTTATATAACTGGATGGATAGTCAAAGGGAAACACACAGCAAAACCACCATTTACATATGCTGGAGATATAGCAAAAGCGTTTTCGAGTAATTCACCCCATGCTCTTCCAAGCAGGAGGTGATGAAGCTCTCACACCGGCATTCTGATGCTGCAAATGTGTTCAGCTTTGTTTGGCATCGAACCAGCGAGAGCTGCGAAGCAAAACGGGAATATTAGATTAGAAATAAGAACCCCATTTGCTTTCTTTCTTTTCTTACCAGTAAGAACTAATTCAATCGTGCAAGCGAGAGTCGCAAAATGCTTAAATGCTGCAGAAAGCCGAAGATGGTAATGGCTCATAAACCTCAGCAAGCCCAAGACGTCTACTCTCAGAAGCTGATTTCCCAAGTATTCTCCTCGTTTCATCTGATCTATCCACAGCAATGCTGTTGCATAACAGCAGGTCCCGCAGAAACATTACCACCATGAATCAGAGCCTAACTCTTTCTAGATACGACTTCATTGTCGCATGATTTAGTTGAACTAGAAGATACAAGTCCAGATTGGGAGGAATAGTGGAACCAAGTTTTTCTGAAATGCTTCCCTAAAATTTTGTCAGAAATACTGGTAAGAGAATTCGGGAGGGGATCTCGCAGCAAGATATTGCTTAGCTTTGGAGAAACAAACAGGAGGAATTAACGGTCCGATGGGTCCGAAAAGGGTCATATTCATTCGAGACTCGATTTTCCTCCTCCTTTCCCCTTCTTCCCGCGAAGATGGTGCAAGCTAGAAATCATCCGTAGATCACCTGAAAGGCGGATATAAAAGGGACGAAATGAACTGAAACTTTGGCCGCCAGCACTGCTCCTGCACAACAAATTTATAAGCCAATGTCAGTATTGATGCAATGAAAGCTGTGGAACATAAACAGCGGGCTCGAGTATTGCAGGTACTCTAGATACGTACAAATAAAAAAAGCAATACGGAGCCAAAGAATGAAGACACCAAACAAGTTTGTCAATTTAGCCGTTTGCGCGTCGCACTGAAGAATCTATAGATCAGGCCGCCGGATCGGATCACGGGACCTTACTTTCTTCAGAAACTATAATAAGCGGTATGAATTTCGCCATTCTCAGCATGGTCCCAATCACGAATGCACGACGCACAATGAACCAAACTCATGTACCGCTGTTTCGACAGGTAGAATTCTAATCGCAATCAGGACGCGAACTAGGTCAAGAACAGGCTTTTTTCTATTCTTGTTCTCTCCATTCCCTCCAGATGCAAAGTTCGAAGTTATACCGAGAAAATCAGGACATTGCCACAAACCCATGTCCAGAAATGCACGATAAGCTTTCACAAACGTAGGACCAGCAGGTGATCCTGGTCAATTACGAGAAGTCAATGAACAAGAAGTCCACGAGAGGTGAACGAGGTCGAAATGACCCGGTCTAACTTTTCATCCTCCCATCTCTTCTTCAGCAATTATAACTCCGGCATCATCAGAAACAGGACACCCCCAGATCACATAACGCGCAAGCAACCGGCAGAAAAGCCAGAGATCGAAACCAACGCTCGTCAATTCAACACATTATGCGATGGTACGAAGTAACGTACAACCGGTGATCGATTGGATAATCGTATGCATTCGGTGTTTTGATTGAATTCAGACGGAATTGATCGACCGACAGGTATCAATCTTGATTCGATTCCGGGTGCAAATTTGAGAACAGCGGCAATAAAGCTAACCCAACGATATTCACAAAACGTGCCAACAAATTTTGATACACTTCAAAAGAATGAATTGAATTTGGATCCTAATAGACCTCTAGGCCATACAACACGCCGGCGTGCTTCTCCGGCCCGTCGCTGGCGAAGTAGACGTCCCTAATCTTCCGAAACGCTTGCCACGTGAGGAGGCTGTCCGAGCCGGCCTGGTGGCACTTCCCGACCGCCCGGTCCAAGTCGAGCGCGGCGGCGACCCGGTCCAGCCCGCCGTGCAGGCTGTGGCAGAACCGCATCAGGTGCTTCACGTCGTAGACCCGGTCCCCGAAGAACACCCGCACGACGGCGAGGAAGTCCGCGAGGTCGCCGGGTAGGTCGCGGTGCGTGAGGGCCTTGACGAGGTAGCCGAAGTCGTAGGCGCTGTGGAAGGTGACCCAGCTGACGGCGTCGTCGCTGCAGACGAGGCCGGAGGACATGAGGAGCTCGGCGAAGCGGGCGGAGTCGCAGCCCTCGGCGCGGTTGCGGTCGAAGTCGACGCCCTGGCGGCGGAGGAGCTCGATGGAGTCGGGGGCGTGGGGGTGGAGGGCGGGGTCGAAGTCGCGGAAGTTGAACTCCCAGATGAAGCCCGGGAGGTTGCCGAGGGAGTCGGAGAGGGTGAGGCCGACCTGGATGAGGGCGAGGGCGTCGACGTTGGACTTGAGGAGGCGGTAGTGGTCGGAGGGGGAGGGGCGGCGGTCGGGGGCTGGGGGGAGGCGGAAGACGAGGCCGGGGAACTCGGTGTCCATGGAGGCGAAGGGGAAGCGGTCGATGAGGTCGCGGATGAGGGCGAACTCGGCGTCGAGGTTCCAGGACCAGACCTGGCGGACGGCGACGGAGGAGGGGGCGCGCTCGCCGGCGATCGTCATGGATGGGGGGAAGTGGGGAGTCGGAGATGATGATGAGAAGGAGGAGATGATGAGGAGGAGGAGATGGGGGGGAGGCGGGGGTTATATAATAACGGGAGGGAGGAAGGTGGGTGGGAAAGAGAGGGGGATGAACGAACGTGGAGGTGAGGTGACAGTACAGAGTACAGTTCAAAGTTCAGTGGGAGAGGGGAGGGGGAGAAGAAGGAGGGAGGAGTCTTCGCCGTTACTGTCCAAAGTTCAACGCGCCTTGGCCTTTTGACTGGACCCCACTCTTGTAATTTTATTGGGGCATTTTCTTTTTAAAAAAAAATTTTAAAAAACGTTTCTCTTTCCTAATTTTCTATATTTTATAAAAAGGAAATATTTATATATGTATGTATATATACGGAGGAAGAAAGCAGGGGAGGAGTTAGGGGGAGACCGGGTCTTTCGTTTGACTTTTCTGGCTGGCCCGGAGGGATTGAGCGCAGGGCAGAAACGGAAAAGGACATGCAACTATTGTTTTTGTTTTGTTTGCCTTTTTTTTTTTAAATTAAATTTAATTTTTTTTTGGGGTAACGTCGGACGGAGGCTGTCATCACCCCCACGATGATGCGGGGCTCGAATCACATCCGGAAAATGTGAATTGCATTCTCAATGCTCTTAAATTAATACTACTGCTCATTGACCGACCGAACTCGGACCGCCTTCGCTGCTGCAACAATAAGCTAGGGATGAGCGTGATTTTAGGGTAGAACCTGGAATCTGATAACTGAATCAGTGGAAATCTATCAGTTCTAAGTTTCGGAGTATGCAAGGTAGGTTTTAGATTCCAAAAATTGGAGTATCTGTTTCGACGGGTAGGTTTTAAGTTATAAGTAGGTGGAACCTGGAATCTGTAACCTGAAACCTAAAATAAGTTTTTGTTTTTTTCTTGGTCTATATCTTCGTGCGATCCTGCAGTATTTCATGGCTTTCGATGATGAGTGTATAATCTGGAACCACTAGTCTGAGCTTCCATTTTATGATTGAGACTTTTATTTTGTTAATATTTTCATATTCTTCATGTGTTTAATTATAAGTTGTGGTCAGTAAATAATAGCGGTAAGTGGTGATCAATAAAGGTGTCAATTAATAATATAGGTGGAACACACCTTGAAACCGACCCTGAAATCTATGACATGATAGGTTTCAGGTTCCAAAAAATAAGGAATCTGTTTCAACGGATAGGTTTCAGGTTTCAATTGGAACCTGTACGGAACTTGGAACCGCTCGCCCTTACAATAAACCCCACCCCCCAAATAACGAAAAAAAGAAAGAAAGATTGAATTTGATCTTTCACATATCCAGACAGATAGATCACACGGCATGTCAGCATGATGAGCGCTTACCCCCATTATATATGCCAATTTCTGTTTGATTGCACTCAATCAAGCACTCGTTCTTTCCAAATGATCACAGCAAGAAAACCGGTCTACTCAAGACATCCTAGAATTTCGGCAACAAAGATTCTCATCGACACGGCTCCGTTACGAAAAAAGATCCTGGCGCTGGCTTGTGGGTGATAAAAGTATGAGTTTCGTCGCCGTGGATAATGGCGGACAAACCACATTTCATTGCCATAGATTACCAACGGCGACGAAATCAACTTCCATATCTATCGATCGCCCTATAGCGACAGAACTATTGTCGCCACGTTTTTTTTTTACTATCACCTTCGACTATTTTTTATTTTTATTTTTGATTTTAGCAATTTATTTTGCTAATTTAAATTGCTCGTAAAATCTAATGATGAAACACCTGAAGACGTGTAAACCATCTCATTAATATACACTAATATAGAATCTACATGATTTCAGAGCACATCCCCTTCATGCTCATCTTCTTCTCCGAGCTGCTGCTCTCCGGTCGAACTCCGGCGCATGTCCGGCCGACGAGCATGGCAAGTCCGGAGAACCCATGATTTCAGAGCGCACGCCCAGCCGACGACGAGCATGGCAAATAGATCTGATCATGTGCCCAGCGGCGGCGCACGGCCACGCCTAGATCAACCAGGGGTCAATTGGGTGGGTTGGCCTGAATAAGGATACGTAGTTTGAAGCCCGGTCGAGCCCTTTGCTGACGCTTGATTAGGCCCGAGTACTCGTACAAAAACTTTTTGGTGATGTGCGCCAGGCTTTAGATAAACAGTATTAGGCATGACATTAGGGACCGGTCTGTCCAAGGCCCATGCAAGGATATCCCTTTGATTAGTAGATCGTAGAACGTGTGTTCACATCAATTCGACTATCTCCACGACCCACCGGGCACCAGGCAAAAACAACGCTTTTGATGGATTTCCAAACGTGCACGCCACTGCAGATCCAAATCGGCCCTCTAATCAATGCTCATTATGGCTCGTGACGAGACCGATGCCTAACATTTCTGTGACCCGCGGCTCGTTTCGGGCCGCTCCGGTCATCGTTGCGGCCGACCACGCGCGAAAGCGATTGCATCGATCGGCTCTTATATTCACCGATACGTGCCTGCAATTGGGGGAGTCGTCCCGCATTAAGACGTACCAATCTTTTAGTTAAGAAAGATAAGTATGGACGTGTCAAGATCGATCCACACAAGGTGGGCATGCATTTAATGCTGGCTTTGGTTGAGCACATCGTTTTCGTTCTCGGGGTAGAGCGTTAGCTCAACCACCGTTGGCTTTTGCATTGATTTTGAGCCGATGCATATGAATGAGCTACTACTGCCTAAGTGCCTACGACCCTTAATTGCGACAGCTTCTATCTCAAAGATTAATCACATTTGACTAAGTAATTGATCAATTACGTTGCAGCATACCTAATTCTACGTACTGAAAGATCATTCGACTGGACTTTACAACAAGTTTATTGTGCTACGAACGTGTGTAGGTTTCCCCGCTATTTTGTAATAATTTATTTGAGGGGTCTGCGGAATTCCATTAACCAAATAATTTACATAACTCATGGTCAATCTTTTCTAGCCGGGCAATCAAAGTCAAACTGCTTCACAAAAGAAGAAAGATCGAAACAAGACACGCATGCAAAGCGAAGTAGATCATCGAACCGTATCACTATGTCAAGGACCGATACTACATGAATCGTTGGGCGACTGCTGCCGTTGTGTAAAGGCCCTACGTAGAAAAGAGCAAGTCTTTGTAGGGTTTTTCGAGCTCGAGCTTCAGATCCTGTTCTTCTTCTTGGTAGAGCGGTTGTCTCCGTTGACGAAGTCGAGCAGGACGGAGCTCTTGCACCTCGGGCACTTGGGGTCGACCTCGGACAGCATCACGTACATGAGGCACCGAGGGCAGCCCACGACCACCATCGAAGTGGCGGCTTGAGGCCGAGGATCGTTGCCCCGGTACCTTATGGCGCTGCTGTTGTTCTCTTCGAGCCCGGTTGACGAGGAGGAGAAGCATGAGCTTTCGCATGAAGAAAGTGATGATGTCGAAGAGTTTGGCGATTCCTTTGTTTGGAGATGGTAATGGCCGTCATCGGCTCTTGGCGGTGACAAGTTCAGCTTCAGCTCTAGCTTGGGGCTCTTTGCTCTTCCACCGCTCATCTTGGAAGCTGAAGCTAACTTTTCTCTCAGCAATATTTCCCTCCTTAGAGTTCACCTTAACAGGGAAAAAAGGAAATACTAAGAAAATATTCTATGCATATAGGAGAAAACAAAAGCTATTCCATAGTCAATACCGCTCACGAAACTTGTTATGTGAATTCGAAAACTTAAAAAAAAACAAAAGAGAGAGAAAGAGATGCTACACCCTGCACTTACGATATTTCAATTAACGTTATTCGGATAAACAGTAATCAGATAATTCACGAAACGTCGGGATTGATTCTTACCTTGAGTTGAAGAACTAGTTCTTCCCAAGAGAACGCTATCTGGGATTAAGACCAGAGAAGAAAGGGACTTGGAATTTGCTGATCATATACCAATGTTGAAGTTGTCAAAGAGATTCGTAACGCAATTTATAATGCCTTTGCATAGAGAGAGAGAGAGAGAGAGAGAGAGAGAGAGAGAGAGAGAGAGGTTCTTCTATAGCCTATTAATTGTGGGTAGGAAAGGAGGGTATTAGAAATTAGGGCAAGAAAGAGAGAAGGTGGTATTGAGATGAAAATCAATTGAGAGGACACATGATGGGTGGAAGAGAACCGAGAAACGCAAAAGGAGGCTGCAAAATGTTCTTGATGTGGAAAGAAAAGTTGCTGGGATCGACTCATTGCCTTCATTCATTGATGGGAGAGAGAGTTGGTATGTTCATGTCCATCACAATTTAGTTAACCTCACAGCTATTTTAAGAAATCTCAAGGCATTCAAAGCTTCACGGTTCCTGTTTAGATGGAAAGCTATATTCCATAGTCTTGCCCCCATGAGAAATAGATTGATAGGCCGGTCGATGCCAAGCTTTTCAATTGAATGTGTGCGTGATTTTGTGGGGTTAATCGGATGAGATAGAATCATAGAGGGTGGTGTTTCTATTGGCTAGTGAGCTAAGTGAACGCATATGCTCGAATGACACCGTCGATGTTCGGAAAGTTTCACGCGGGCGATGTTTATCAAGTGACCTGTGCGCGCGGTAGCTCTACCTATCATTAAAGTTAATCAAAGCTAGTAGACTAAGATTAAGGCTGCGTGTGCGTTCATTAAATGTTTGCTAAAGTTACCCTCGAAATCCCTTTTCTCATAGGCGCCACATGGTTGACGAGCGCGGTTAAGAAGTTCTCGAAGATTGCCGCGTAGACCTTTAATGTAACAGCCACGGTCATTGCTACCGAAAGTGTCGTGGGTACTCGATTCACAGCCACGATCCTGTAGCGCCGCGCGAGGCTAATTAGTTTCGGAAGTGCGTGTTGCCGGAGAAGTGATCGGACAGGGCAAAGTCATCAATGAAATGGCAAGAAACAGAGGTGGCCATAAAGGTATATCATGCGGAAGTTCGATTTCATGTAGTTGTGATTTATGATTCAGCATCAGGCCAGCGGAGTTCAACTGCTCCATTAAAGCTCCACGAAAGGAGGGAAAGGGAGAGATCGTTTTGAGTACTGAGAAATGTTGCTGCTATCGTCCTGCTTCAACAATGAAAGAAGCAAATGGGACTGGGAAAGATGCAGAGCCAATGACGTCAAGTCGACCGAGGGCTTACGTCATCATCTGGGTCGAAGTCGAGCCCCAAGAAGGACCTGATTCTGTCGTGTATACCTGTTGATGTTCGAAACATCATGGTCCATGCGAGTTGGAGACTCTGTAAACGTGAAGTTCACACTTGTGTTTGTTCAAAAATGGAGTGTAGCTAGTTATGACGATTAGAAAGACTATCCAACCAAAGCTGGTGAAACAGAGTTAGAACGGAGAAATTCACATTTGAAGACAAGATGCAGCAGTATTCGTTACCCCAACATGGAGCCATAGGACCCAATGATGGACCTAAGGATGACGGCGAGATCCACCGCCCCTCGGCTGTTAGTTGTGCGACGAGGTGTTTTCTAATGTCATGCTGCAATATGTTCAACTCCGTGTGATTTCTTTTTGTTCCGTCACCGAGCTAACGTTCCCCAAAGCTATCATCTCACCCCCCCTTACTCCGAGCTTTGCCGTCGGTCACCAGACGCCGTAACACCGTATCCAGATAGTCATTGCTCTATCCGCATGGAATGGAACTAATAACAATGTATAAATGCTAGAGAAGCTGACTGAACATGGTTGCCCGGGTGGCCGTGAGATAGAGGTCATTTATAAAGGTGGCCGAACAATTAGGTGATGTTCAGAGCGGAATTAATGAAACAACATCACCATCACCTTCTTCTTCTTCTTTCTTCTTCTTCACCACCTCCTCCCTTCGAGACACGAGATGTCCGGGCGGGACTGTCAGAGACTTCAACGCATGTTATAACCAAAATGAATCCTCAAGAAGGAAGAGAAGTTAGGAGAGATGGGTGACACATTAACTACGGGGCTCCAAATCAATTAAAGTAATGGTGCCGTGTACTCTAGTAGTTAAGCTGACGGAGTTCAATAGCGTCCCCAGAGAGTATGTTCTTCTTGAGAATACATGGACGGGGACAGATGAGAGTGATCGAATGTCTCCGCCACATACCGGTCGATTGTGGCGGAAATGGCAAGTGGTTCTAGTATCTAAGAACTTTCAAAGAAAGGAAATGGAGGCCTAATCCATATATTGAATGATGGTGATGCTAGAGCAATGAAAGGGGCTCCGATTTGATCGGATTTGGGAAGACAGACTAAATTGCCGATGCTTTCATGGTGAAATTTTCAAGCTATCCCGAATGTTCGGTCGTATTAATTGCTATTTTCTGCCTAATGTATTCATTAAATACGATTAAAGATGGATCTAGCTAGATATAGATAGGTGCTCCACATAAATGCTTACGTATCTCAATCAATTGAGAATGTATCTAATGTTTTCATGCATAACCTTTCCATCATCAACTACTCTTCTTCCTGTGCTAAACTGCTAATCTAAAGAATCGCCAAAGCATTCCAGTTTGACAACTACGATTGTTCGAAGCTTCTATTTTTACAATACCAATTACATTGGCCGCAAAGCGGGACTCTGGTGAAGATTAAGAAGATCATTATTGCTTGCTTTGCTTGAGGTTCTCAGGGAAACTTATCCTGTGAAGAGTAATCAGCTTAAGTTGGAAGGATTAGCAAATAACCAAGAGCTTTTCCTAACAATTCGAAGACATGGAAGTTCTCACCTAATCCTCTAGAACCTGCTTTTGTTCGAGCTCAATAAAATGCTCGGGTAGAGAGGTCGTGGTGCTATTTCTTGTCTTACTGCTCCTACATTGCGACAGCTGCTCCTTAAGGTTCCGGACAAGTTCGTACAGTTTCTGGATGCGTTGCTCTTGCGATATGATGATCTGCAAAAGTTGATGATAACTACGATTACAAAATAAAGCAAGGACAAGAAGATATCTCTAACTCAGCAGCAAAGTTGCAAATTGATGTCCAGATGACACGAAAGTGCAATGAAGATGCGATAGAACAATCTCATTTGATAGAACAAACCCCCCAGGCCGCAAACACCCAAAAAAAAAAAAAATTCAACTGCTTGCAGAGGCCAAATAGCAATTTAATTTAGGACTAAATGAGTTTCTATGCTAGATAACAGGAGTGGAAAAGAAAAGAGCTTTGAGCAGTCGAAATTTGGCAATTGGTGAAATGTGGGAAAGACTGAGTTAAGCTTGGAGAAGTTTCTTCTTGTCAGATAAATCTCGCTATTTTGAATCTGTCAAAGGGAGAAGAGATCTTTCCCAACTACAAACTGGTTGGTTTTTCTTCAGGAAAATCAGCTTCACCAAAAAGTTTGCCAACAGATTCAAAGAGGCTGACTTTCTGGCAAGCATCCACGGTTGAGGAAAAGTCCATGTTCCGCCTATAACGATTCTTCCGAGTAGAATTCCTTCTGTTATCTTCAAACAAACTATTCAAAATTACACTTAATCCCTACATTTCAATGACACTTTCTTTCCAAACCAGCCATTACAATTGAGGCTGTACTGTCCGTGGCCAAAGCATCCACATGAAATAAACAGAAGATGCAATTTTTAGGGCACATCTGACATGGAAATAACCAAATTCTGAGGTGCAAAGGAAGACATGATTTAGTTGGTTTGGTCATTTGCAAGTACGGGGCCAGATACACAAGTTATGAGCATTTGATCCAAGAACAGTCCAGGCTACAAAAGACTGACTAGCAAAAGAGTGGAAAGAAAGAAGGACATCTGCCTGAAGCTGAGAAGAGAGAGACTATAAGAAGATAATGTTAAGTATCCACTTGACTTGCAACTTTGCCATTCAAAGAGCAAGATGGTGCATCAATATCAATAAAACAGACACCGCACGGATTCTATAAAGTGAAGTAGAACCCTCTTAAAAGAAATACAGAACAACATAAATCACTGGTACAGAGAATGATGAGCATTACGCTGCCATACTTTAATGGCCACTGAAACTAACCATGGGGGAACATTACATACTGATTAAGACAGTACAACAGGCAGCAAAAGGAAAACCAAATGAAAGGCAGAGCAAACAAAGCTCAAATTATCGGCATGACTGAGAGGCTTCGATTAAGCATGGCTCCATTCCGAGCAGATAGAATCGACTCAGAAACAAACAGTAGATGCAGGGAAAAGACTCAGCGGCAATATATTGAACAGGAATAAGGGAAACAACCACCTTCTCTTTTACGGCTTCTCGCCTCACTGAAACTCGCGATTGCTTCTGGGCAATGCTCAGAGTATTTTCAAGGTCAGTCACAAGGGGTTGCTTCCACTCAAACTGGGAAGTGATGATGAGGACTAGCAACAGAAAGGCAAGTAACAAGGGACGGGGCATCGTCGCAAAGTTTCACGAAACCTGCAAATTAAATTTTTAACTAGAATATTAAGTGTCGCGAACTTGAATACGTTCAAGAATACACATGGCAATAGCAACTTCAAAAATAAAAAAAACCAGGATCTTCCCAAACTTTCGCCAGTAGAATATCAGAATTAATCAAGGACAGAAAAACAGAGAAAACACCAAAAGCGAGTCCTTGTTCTACAAAATGAAAATCAATCAAGATCGTTATACAAAGGTACTCCTTAATGCAACCAACAGGTCAACCAAACACAATGCAAGCCAAAAACCCAGCTCGAATGAACAAAACCCATGTTTCTTTTGTCACGAGAAACGCACAAAGTTCAACAGAAGGATGCTAATGTTTCCAATGCAACCAAAAAATCAAGATTGAGCAACTAGACCCTTCTGTTCCTTCCTGATTTTTAACTTCCCCAAGATAAAAGCCAAGCAAATAAAAACTGATATCGAAGGCAATTGCACCATGTACGGGACAAAGAAGCACAAATCGACAGGAAAAAAAAGAAGAAAGAAAAACAGGTAAAAAGAAGGAAACCCCCGAAAGCCGTTCACGGGGACAGCAAAGAAATTGAGCAGGAATCGACTTCCACGGTCACCAACAACTCACCTCGTCAATTCGAGCCAACGAAAGAAAGCGCTGATCTCGATGCAACACGGCACGGCAAACAACGCAAGCGAAAGGGATTGGGGAGAGAGAGAAAAAAAAAAAGACGAACTGGGTCGGAGCAAAGATTGGTCTACCACCAGAGTCGACGCGGCGTTCTGCAGAAGGAAGGAGCGCGAGTTCGTTCATGATCGACCGCGCAGCATCGCGAGGCTCGAGCCACTTCAAGCCTCTCTCCACCGACACATGCTGACTTCTTCCTCCTCCTCCTCCAGCCTTTTCGTTGCTTCTCGTGCGGTGCAGCTCGGATGAGAAAGCGGGTCGGGTCATTGGATATCGAATTTTTTTTTTTTCAATGCTAGATAAATGTGGAGATAAAATGAATTATAACTTACAATTCATAAAGTCAAAGAGAAATTTTAATTTAAGGTTTTTTTTTTGGGTTCACTTTTTAAGCAATTTATTTGGGTTTTTTTTTTTAACTTTTAGCATTTATCCGATCCTTGTCCAGATTCGCTTAACACTGAAGATATACCTAGTTGGTCTGATCCGATTCGGAAACCCAACAGAACCGAAGAACCGACCTAGTTGGTCCGGTTCCAGGCCGCTTCGCGTTCCCAAAATTGAAAATGAACTCTGTTTCGTCGGTCTTATTCAGACCGCTTTATTAATATTTGAGCATTCGTATCATTTTGCTTTTCAATGTGTCTCGCAATCTCCAATTGTCTTCTCGAACAAGTATCGGACAAAAAAAAAAATTCATGGCACGATTGAATACGCACGCCTCGCTTTGTCAAAATGCGAAGAAAAAATGTTATTTCTCATGCTAGTAGTATAGAGTTTATAATTTTTTTCAGTTTAATTTTTTTTACTCCGGTCTAGCAATTAATTGTTACTTTGATAAATGCACTTACATCAAGAATCAAATAATTTGTCGTTAAATAAGAAAAAAATGGAACATCATTTTGATTTATATACTTAGATCCACGAACGCTCTTATTAAATGCGCGCGTAAGCACACACACATATGGGCGAATATATATATTTTTCTCTTTTTCTTTTTTCAATTTATATAAATTATTTTGCTATTACAAAAATTAAAATTATATTTAATAATAGAAAGTATGTTGCTCGTAAAAAAAGCCTTTTTTATACAACTTTAATAATTATGTTATTTAAAAAATAAGACAAAAACCCTAAACCATGCCCTAAACCATGCTCACCGTAACATATTTACCTTAAACTTTTTTCATTGACATCAAACATCAATCTGTGTGACACATTTACCCTCCGTTAGAGTTATATCAATAAGATTCGTTAAAAATATGCCTACGTGTGTGGACGCTGGAAAGTAAACTCTGTCGACGTGGCGCCTACACGACTTAAGTAAAATAAAAATGACGCCGTTTTACCTGAAAAATCGGAACCTTGAGGACGGACAGTAAATGTATCACATAAGTACAAATTTGAGGTTTCTAATGTTACAAAAATAATTTAGGGTAAATGTATCACGGTGAGCATAGTTTTGGATTTGCGTCCCGGTGGAATGGTTTAAATTTCTTTGTGACTTTTTTCCCTAAAAAAGTATTTGCTACTCTCTACAAGGGTAATAAAACCAGTTACTATATATGCTTTGCCATGGACATTCAATGATCATAAGGACGTCCACTGACCAACCTTTTGCTGTACATGAACACTCCTTCGAGACACCAACTGATCCATCCCGCATCATTTCCATCTCGCACGACATCAGCGATCGAAACGCACCAAACCAACGTTTACTTCCATAAGTTACCGTAAAACAGCGAAGTCCCGCGCGATCGGCTTCGCTCTCGGGTACCCTCCTAGCAGGAACACCAGCAACCCCGCGATAATCGCAATCGCTAGGACCGCGGACGAAAACCGGCGACCGAATGTTTTCCCGGCAACAATGGTCGTGAGCAAGCACGTCGGCGGTTGCTCGTCGCTTGGTTTTTGGCCCTTGCCGGCAGAGTGTTCCCCCTTCAGCTCTAATCCCTCCAGTGCTGACGCTATCGATTGTTCCGGCACTCTGGGGTTGAATCTTCGGCTTGGCTCGGTCGGGAAGTTTAGGACTTGCGACAGGGATGCTTCGATCGGCTCTTGAGATCTCCTCTCGGCCTCCAGTTGACGGGACTCCATAGGCAGGGCGGGGGGCACTGTGGAATCCGCGGAGTAGTCTAGTTTGATTATGTCGTCTTCCAGTATGTCCGCAAAGAAATCTTCTTCGTCACCAGGAGTCCTCCTCTCGGCCTCCAGTTGACGGGACTCCATAGGCAGGGCGGGGGGCACTGTGGAATCCGCGGAGTCGTCTAGTTTGATTATGTCGTCTTTCAGTATGTCCGCAAAGAAATCTTCTTCGTCGCCAGTGTCCTGAAATTTCATAATCGGATAACTCCATATCATACTGGGTGAAAAACAAAGGCCCCAGCGATCGAAAACGTTGGCACTCAAAAAGACTGGAATTGAATCCACAACTAACCTTCTGGCGGACGGAAGATTCCGTCATCGTCACTTCGTTCGGTAAGTTTTGGTTGGATTCGGATGCCGAGTCCATCTGCTCGACAGAATCAGAGTCGTAACTGCTCGGGCACCTTCTTGCGAAGCCTTCCGCGGCTTCAGACAGAGTTGTCCCATCAATGCCGCCCTCGGACATACCATGGTTTCTATTATCTACAGAAGACAGCTCTATCTGACTCGAAGAAGCCTGATTCGAGCCGTCGTTAATCCGGAACTCGGTATTCCTGCGAAGCCGGCAGATGACTGGAGAATCCTAGAAATTCACAGTAACATGACCATAGGATACTTGGTCAACTAGCGGTTTTAATCATCCCGATCTTGAGAAGTTTGCTGCTACAACATAGCATATAGCTATTCTTGAAAACATAACAAGATATTTGCTCAAGAACTAGAAAGTTATCAAAGAGGCCATTCGATCGATGAGCATATACAACGTCAAAGTTCACTCTGTCGAATTTAAACTAATATTACCTGCGACTTCCCATCCATACAGTACTCGTGCATAATCCATTCCGTCCTTTCACCTTTCGGCGCACGGCCCAGATGGAAAACAAGAGTCCTTTTAGTACCAATCACTCTGGAACCGGCCTTGACATTCCGCTCCTTGCCGGTGGCCTTCCAGTACCCACGTTCGGTCGCTCGCCTACTTTGCGTGCCGTGTGGGTATTTCCTTCCGCGAGCATTGAAGAAGAACCACTCGTTTTCCGATCGGATAATGGATTTTGCTGGTTAATAGTAACTTGGCACTCATCAGTCATATATAAAACAGAGCATTCGTTTTGAGAATCGGACAAGCATACTTCCATTTCCGATATGCCTTGCCAAAGGAACAGAACATACATAATATCCGAGTATGCCTAAAATTGAACTCCTGCGAAGATGAACCGAGACAATATTTGAGGGTAGCTTCCTAATTCCCTGCTACACTGACGCATTTCATCTTTCCTACGGTAAATATGTAGACTTTGAAAACTTTTTGTTCCCTCATTGCTTACCCCTATATGTTCCTGGAAGATGTCACCAAGATCATGTAAATTACGCACTTCTCTTTAGTCTTTGTAAATAGCATATACAGAGCAAGAAGAAAACCCACCGATCGCTCTCTTATCATTCGACACGACGCTCACAGGAGGAGATTCCTACTTCCAAGTTTCCAACAATAGCGAAACCACATAGGCAAAAGTATCTGTGCACCCCACCATCTATCTGGAAACTCCGTCTCTTCTTACTAAGCCGCGCTCCACAGTCCGTCTTAAAAGTGCACCTACTCTGGATATTGACCATCCTCCCTCTCCACCATCGAACAATATATTCAAAATGTTAAACAAGCCTACTCCTCTGCACGTCTGTAATTCTTGAACATATGCCGTTCTGCCAATTAAGATTACATTGCGAAAGACGGGGGACTAACTGACAATAAAAAGGCGCACAACGTTGTAAATCTTTTGCAGCTATAACATAACTAGAAGAGAGCCAACATGAACTTTTCACAAGAAGATGGAACACAGAGTTCAATATTTATCAGATCCGCAATCGGGGCATCGATGGGTAAAGAATGGGAAGCTCCCTCTTCACCCCACGGCGAAAATTCGCACATGGTTTCTCCGCTCCCGCATTAAAACCTCGACAAAGGTAAATGTCGCATCATGGGTGGTCAAAAATCTTGCGCAACAGTCTAAAGAGACATAAAGCTCCTTCCTTTCCTTGCCGGTTGCTTCACCGGAAAACCGCAGTTTCTTGGCTTCATCAGAGTTAGATTGAAAGGGCTAATACGTTGAGTAATGAACCTGTACATCAGCCTACTCTCTGCTCCTACCTCAAAACGTTGATCGATTCAAACACCGAGAGGAGAAACACAGAACAACATAACGCAATTCTGGCACGACCGGGGGCTCCAGTACATGCTGCCAGGACGATGGTCATCGTGGCATTCCAAAAAAGAGAAGGAAAAAAAAAAAAAAAAAACTCTCCCTAACATCAAGAAGCCATCACTGACGAACACCTAAAAACTTCTTGCAACGTAATGGAAATGCGCAGCACTTGCAGCTAAACGTCTGATCACATCGCAAAATCAGTCAAAAGATGTTCAAATCAGGACCGGACCAACCTGGCAAGTCCCAGGGCTCGTGGCGGCAAATCTCGACCTCGGAGATAACCTCGACGCTCTCCTCGCAGCCGTCGATCTTCTTCTTGAGGTAGTACGAGATGAGCTCCTCGTCGGTCGGCGAGAACCTGAACCCCGGAAACATCGAAGACGCCGCTATCGTCATCTGCGGCTCTCTCGAAGAAGGCCCCGCCATCTCCGCCCTCTCTCTCTCTCTCTCCCCCTCCTCCGTTCTTGTTTCAGCAGAAGAAGCCCGAAAAGGGTCCCTTCTTTTATGGCTCGTTCGACCATGACGTAAGGAATGCGTGAGCCCCGCGCTTGTCTTCCTGCGTTCCTTTAACTTGTGGAGAAGGTAACAGAATCAGAATCTGAAAGAAGCAGCAGGCTCGAGAGGAAGGAAGGAAGGAAGGAAGGAACTTGGGTTCGTGGTTTCGTCGTTGTCCGTTCTCTGTGGCAATGTCGATCTCCGTGCTCCGTGCGCGCGCTTTGCTTGTGCGTGTAGTGGTGGTGTTCTGCGTCCGTGTGCCCTCCTCGATCGGCGTGAGAACGTCACGTCGAGACGAGCCCCGCCGAAAAGGAGTTCCCGGTCGTACGTGGCATGCAGAGCCCACGTGTTGCAACCGCGATCGTTCCATTTCTTGCTCTCTTGTAATCTCTCCGGCGACAATCCGTTTTTTGCAGCGTCGCCGGCGGACTGAACAGAGCCCGACCGATGTCTGCCTGCGGCACGATGACCGCAGCACGACGAATCAGAGTCAAATTGCAGGTAGGACTTACAATGAATTTGTAACTTTGAACAGAACCTGATGTGGATACTAATACAATCTCGAAATACAATCAAATTGATTTGATAAAATAATTTTTTATCCTAATGCTTGCGAGAAAGGTGAAATTCTTGAACAAAAACCCATCAACGGAATGCCACGTACGTAGATGAGAAGATCATGCACAGTTAAATCGGATTAGACTAGTTTCTGCCTGAATTCGAATTCGAATTTTGACTTACGTTAGATTTCCTGATTCCAATATTCATACTTGTTTATAAAAAGCATCCCAATCATATTTTCTTAAGTTTTTAAGCTTCTCCACGCATTCCGATCGTGCATTAGTAATTCATGTTTGTTTTAGGCATTTGGATTTGGAAACACGAGCGCCGCCCCAGGGGATCGTCGTGAGGTGCTCGAGAGCCCAAGCAACTACCACATCACGGCGGTCGTGGGGCTCGGCCGGTGCGATGCTTTCATTATTTGCCGTGACATCACGCGACTGTGGACGAATTCAATTCTCGCTAACTAGTTTATCCGATCATACTTCACGAACCAAACAATCAATAATAAGATAGTATTTTCATATTCAGTGTCATACCCAATCAATTACCAAATAATATCTACGATATGAATGATTCAATCCAATATTAATTATCTTATTCCATCTTATCAAACAATCCGACTAAACGAGCACAGCAGCATGAGCCAATTTGTGCCCTAAGTTTATTTTGCCAACCACTTCTGCATATGTTAATGTTTACCAATTTGGCATCGGCATATCGAACCGGCAAATCGCTTCGACAACTTTTTTTTACCCAAGTATTGATCATAAAACCTTAAGGTTAGGAATTGCAAAGAGTAGACAGAATCCAAGGTTCAACAACTCACGAATCCGAATAAATAGTTTAGGCATTGGAGAGGTATCAACCAACTACCCAATTAAATTCATGAAAATTCAGCCAATACAAAAAAATTATCCTCGCGGACCGCTTGTGAGCGGTTGAGTCAATTACTTTTAATTTCATATATGATTTAAAGAGATTTTAATATTGTAGAGATCAAATTGAACTTGAATTGCTCAACTAATCATTCTTATAATTTACACTCTTTACCATGAGTATCGAGGCTTCATGATGGTCAATTTACTTGCCTAGACATCAAATTCAACTTGAATTGCTCAACTAATCGTAGATTAATAATGCTAGGGATGTTAAAACTGGTTTTTATTAAGTTGATATTTTAAGCCGCAAGACAAAAAAACTCAATTAAATTGTTTAGGCATTGGAGAGGTATCAACCAACTACTCAATTAAATTCATGAAAATTCAGCCAATACAAAAATATTGTCCTCGCGGACCACTTGTGAGCGGTTGAGTCAATTACTTTTAATTTCATATATGATTTAAGGAGATTTTAATATTGTAGAGATCAAATTGAACTTGAATTGCTCAACTAATCGTAGATTAATAATGCTAGGGATGTTAAAATTGGTTTTTATTAAGTTGATATTTTAACCCGCAAGACAAAAAAAATTTATTGGGCAAATACCACAAAAAACCTCATACTACGTTCGGTGTAACACAAATACCTCAAACTTTTTTTGTGTTGTCAAAAACCCTAAATTTGCTCATGGTGACACAAATACTCCCATTTTTTTGTGTCATGAAAAAAATCCAAACTTATGCATGTGTGACATATATACCATAGAAAAAATAGGCATTTTTTATTTTATAAAAAATTGTCACGAATTTCGAGCGTCATAAATTATGGAAAAAAGACATAAAATCGCAAAAAAGAAATTGACGATATCGTTATATGTACCGCGATAAGTTTGCACCGTTGAAAATAGAGTCTGACGCGAGCCCGACAAATTTCCCATCAAAATTTAAAATGTTGCCTATATTTTTATATAAAATTAAGAAAAAATATATATGGATTTATGTATACCATGAAAATTTGAAGTGCTTCGATTTAGGAAAACTAAAAGAAAGGTTGCAAAAAATAATTTAAAGTAATATATATAAAGTAAAAGTCAACGCGAGAAAAGCATAGAGTTTCGCGCCCTCGTTCCTTTGACCGACCGACTGACATGGACGCTTCAGCGACCACCTTCCTTGGAAAATTTCTTACAACTCTCAACAACTCCATGAAGCATTTTCTTCTCCGGAATCATGTGTGTGTATGTATGTGTATATATATATATATATATATGCATGTGATGGCTTCGACCAAGACAAAGTCTCCGTAGCATCAAAACAGAGACATACAAGCACGCCCGCCATGTCTTCTTCTTGCCCCGTTCCCGCTCCCATCAGCAGCGAGATCGACATGGGCGGCGTCGACCCTTCTTCGCCCCCTGCACCCGCCACCACCGTCCGAGCCACCGTCGTTCAGGCGTCCACCGTCTTCTACGACACTCCGGCGACTCTGGGTCTTGATTTCGACCTACAAAAAGTCTCTCTTTTGACGTTCTCGTTTTGCCTTTTGACCGAGTGTCTCTCTTTTTGAGCGCAGATAAGGCGGAGAAGCTGCTGGCAGAAGCAGCAGCACTGGGGTCGCAGCTGATCGTGTTCCCCGAAGCCTTCATCGGTGGGTACCCTCGGGGGTTGAACTTCGCCGACCGCACGGCCAAGGGCAAGGAGAGTTTCCGCAAGTACCACGCGGCGGCCATTGATGTGCCTGGTGAGATCTTCTCTCCGCTTTTTGGGTTCTTTAACCGTTTTTTTGTTCGACGGAATGACCGGACCAGTTCATGGGTTATAATGTTACTTCTGTCTGAGCACCTGTTGGGGCTGATAGTGTTGGTATGCCTCGCCGCAACTTCATCCGTTTTTGACCCGGATCTATATCCATGGATTAGGCACAAGACCACTCTCAGCACCACCAAATGCAAAGGATTCCACGCTTGAGTCACATTCATTGACTTTGGCTCCCTAAGTAGGATGGATCTTCTCGCTAACAAGGGCAAAAAAAAAACAGAAAAGAACTTTTGGCAGTTTACTTGGTTCAGGAGGGAAATTTCATCAGTCACCCGTATAAAAAAATTGTCTGTGATGCATGCTCAAATTGATGGTTAGGACCCAAAGAAGAGAAAAGGTTGAAAATGAGATGGCTTTCTTAGCACTCATCTGTAGAACTAGGAAGCCATCAAGAAGGTCAATAGTCTCATACAGCAGAAGCTCAGTTTTCTCGAGTCCTAAGCTCAACTTTCTGTCGAGTCCCCTTTCTTTGCCCCAAGATCTGGACCTGTTTCGTTTCTGTGATTGTGAATCAAGCGCCTGCTAACAAGTCCACTGAGATGAATTTTCACTCGCAGGACCTGAAGTCGATCGTCTGGCCGCCCTGGCCGGAAAACACAAAGTATACCTGGTGATGGGTGTCATAGAGAGAGACGGGTACACGCTCTACTGCACGGTCATCTTCTTCGACCCTCAAGGCCGATACCTTGGGAAACACCGCAAGCTCATGCCGACCGCTCTGGAGCGTCTTGTTTGGGGTTTCGGAGATGGGTCGACGATCCCTGTTTTCGATACCTCGATCGGTAAGCTAGGCTCCGTCATTTGTTGGGAAAACAAAATGCCGCTGATGAGGACTGCTATGTATGCCAAAGGTAAAATTTCGCATATATTCCCAATAGGGACGAATCCGCAAACTCGCGATTTATTGACGCGTTTAGAGAGTTAATAACGCAGTCGAATAACTTGTAGAATTTTCCATTCTGGTGCTGCGATTAACTTGTGAACTCGTCCTAAATTCTCCAGGCATTCAGATATACTGTGCTCCGACTGCTGATCCTAACACAACCTGGCAGTCATCCATGGTTCACATTGCCCATGAGGGCGGATGCTTCGTGCTTTCGGCCAATCAGTTCTGTCGAAGGAGCGACTACCCTCCTCCGCCCGAATATGTAGTTAGCGGGAATGACGATGATCACTTGCCGGACTCCGTCGTATGTGCCGGTGGCAGCGTCATAGTTTCGCCATTCGGCACGGTCCTTGCTGGACCGAATTATGAAGGAGAGGGTCTCATCACAGCTGAGTTAGGTAATTCAGTTGCTCTGAAGAACTCTACATCCTGACGATATTTCGATTTGTGAATTCGGTGATCTTGGGCTTCCTGGCCACCCCTCTCACAGAAAAGATGTGTGCGCTCACTCCTGCTATTGATCATCTGAAATGCAGATCTTGGAGATATTGCACGGGCCAAGTTCATGTTCGACGTCGTCGGGCATTATTCGAGGCCTGACGTGCTGAGCCTCGTCGTGAAGGACCATCGAGCTAGTCCCGTCACCTTCGCCTCGACGGAGCAAGCCTCCATGCCTTGAGGCGCCAGAGGCCTCTCCCGATTCGCCGCTTCTACTTCATGCCTAGTTAGTACGCTTCACACGGCGATGTCTTCTTCTGGTGGCATTGCCTTGCAACTTCAATTTCTGTGTCGAATAACATGTTCCGTCTGATAAATCCGGTTTGTGTCCGGCCAACGGGAATGGTCGACCGTTTGAGTGGCAGCTGTTGTCTGAAACGAGTCGTCTCGTATGTTCTCTGAGTTGCCCGGCGACCAGTTCGTTATCTGTGCTCTGTATTTCACGAAGTCGTGTATTAAAAATAAACTGGACCATTAATTGAGGCTTCGCGCCAGGGAATGGATTTATGTGCATTTTCACCTTTAAAGATTCGTATATACGAAGTCTAGAAAATTTAACAGAAAGAATTAATTGAAATTCAACCAAAACGAGAGTGATTTAAGCATCTACAACAAATAATAGTATGCTTTTTACAAAATGATAACTGTAAGATCATGATTGTGCGAGAATATAAGAATCTTATTGTAATTATAGAAGAAATATGAAAAATTACTCAATTATTTTTCAGTGGAATTAGCAATTAACTGGCGTAAAGCAAATACCAATCTCCAACTAACAAAGATAAAATGAAAGCGAAAAAAGATCAAAAGTTGGAACTCGATAACTAAAAAGTCCACGTAGATGTATGCGCGATTGTCATTAGCCTTTATTTCCCGAATATTTTTGGCTAATATATTAATGCTTAACCAAATAGCAAAAACTAAAACCTCTAACGAAATGATCGAAACAGAAAATAAAAAAATAAAAAATCAAAGATTTGGAACTTGGGAAACTAAAAGAGAGAAAAGTGTAAAACCAAAATTTAAACATTTAATATTTTTTTATCGTGTAAGATTGAGAGCTATAACTTCGAATGAAATTAAGCGTTAATAGAAATTTTAGAATATATGAAATTTGGATTAAATGTGAAAAAAAGGGAAGATCCAAATATAAATTACAATGAGTTCCCTATATATTGAAAAAATCCATGAACTCTAAAAAAAAAATTAGAAGAAAAAATCCGTAAGTTATTTGGCATATGTTGGCTACTTAGAGTTTCTCTAATGTGATTAGCCACTTAATCATGTGGTTACTGTAAAAGTATGGGTAAATTGCGCAAACAGTCCTTGTACTTTGATGTTTTTACAAAGTGACCTCCTGTACTTTTAATTGATGAGAATATCCCCACAAAAATTCAACCGAGAACCCATTTCTGTAAAATTCGTGTGGATAAAATTTCGAAAAATGGCATTCCATAGCTTCAATATTTTAGGTATATATCAATCTTAGCAGTCACGGTGGCTCCGAAATGTCGCGCCGGAGAAATTTTCTTAAAATCGATTGGGAAGTGAACTACATTCGCTAAATTAAAAATATAAGGGTTATTTAGATAACTCGCCCTAAAAATACAATGGCTGTTCTTGGTTCGGAAAATGTCACAAACAATTCTTGAATTTTGATTCAATGTGTAACGTGATTCCTGAATTATATCATCCCTAAACTTTTAATTTATGTATCAAACTAGTCACTAGACAATATGAAAATATTGAGTGTTGTCCCTAAACTTAAATTAATGAAAATATAATACTTGACATTTTCATATAGTTTAAGGATTAATTTGAACATATACTAAAAATTTATAAATCATTTTAAATAAATTAAAAATTCATGAACCGACCTTATACGTTATGCTAAAATTCAAGAACCATCTGTGTCATTTTTCATTTCTTTGATTTGGTTCACTGTCGAAAGGTCTAGAAACCTCCTGCGGCTGACAAAATATTGGGTACCCTCCCCAAGTGGTGCCATATCAGCAAAATAATAATCCATTCAGTGATGGACACGTGTCTCCGGGCCCACCTGTGTCAGCCAAATTTTCAGCCCACCTCTATTCTCTCGATCTCTCTCTCCTCCGCTTCACCCCTTTTCCCTTGTTTGACCTTGAGCCCTAGCCACCGCCATTGTCGGCCACGGCGAAGAGGACCCTCGGAGTCTCCGGCAACGGGCTCACAGCCGATGGATACTTGTCCCTTCGTGTGCCTCACGGTCAGGAACTTTGCGCTGAAAATCCCCGTCGCCGCCAAGCCCGCCCGCTCCACCTCCACCCATCGTCCTCCCCCTGCTTCTGCAAAATCAAGCTCAAGAGCTTCCCCCTCCAAACCGCCATGGTCGCTTGACCACGAGCTCGCGACCATGGTTACTCGAGGTCGAGCTCCGTGGCCATGGCGGCAGCGAGCCTCGGGCTCGCGCTCCGGTGCCGGCGATGGAGAAGACGTCGGTGACGCCGATTTGGACGAGCTGTTAAGAGGCACACCGTCTTCATCCGCTTTTGGTTTCCATGGTGAAGATGAGGAATTGCAGAGGAAGCGGCAGAGAGAAAGTGAAGAGGGAGTCCCGTGAGGGTCAGGAGGGGAGAGAGAAAGTGGGCCCCACACAGGAGAAAATATTTCTGACAGTAGGCCCGGGAGACACGTGTCCATCACTGAATGGATTGTTATTTTGCTGACATGGCACCACTTGGTGTACCCAATATTTTCTCCCTGCGGCTGCTGGAGCAGTTTAAGATTGAAGTCAGAAGAGACAAGCCCATCTCCACATCTCTCTCTCTCTCTCTCTCTCTCTCTCTCTCTAAGTTCAGACCAGACGGCGACAAAACTTAGCTCCGACAAAGCAAAACCCAAGCCGCACACGCGCACGAGCAGAGCGATACACAAGACAGCCATGGCGCTGATTCCATCTGACCCCATCGACGACGGCCGCTCCCTCCCCCTCATCGCCGAGGTCAACATGTCCTCCGACTCCTCCTCCGCCGCCGCCGCCTTCGTCCGCGCCACCGTCGTCCAGGCCTCCACCGTCTTCTACGACACCCCCGCCACTCTGGGTACCCTCTCTTCTTCTTCATCTCTCTCTCTGGGTTCGGTAAATTTGACGCCTTTTCTTTGTTTTTGCTCTTCTTTTTGTGGGATGTGGTGGCAGATAAGGCGGAGAGATTGCTGGCCGAGGCGGCGTCGCACGGGTCTCAGCTGGTCGTCTTCCCCGAAGCCTTCGTCGGCGGTTACCCCCGCGGCTCCGATTTCGGCGTCACCATCGGGAATCGCACGGCGAAAGGCAAGGAGGAGTTCCGCAAGTATCACGCCTCCGCCATTGATGTCCCAGGTACTAGCTAGTGCTACCACCATGTGTTCCTGAGCCCCTGCCCCTCGAGTGACTTGAACCAAACTCTGTTGACTAGAATCTGTTTTTATGGTTAGTGGGCGTGCGTTGGTTCTCTTTGGGTTTGTAATGGTAGTCCGTTCTCACCCAGCTGTGATGATTCGTAGTTTCCGATGTTGGCCCTCTCTTTGAGCTCTGTGGCAAAAAGTTGGTCGACTTCCAAGATTCGCAGTGTCGAAGCAGAGTCTCTTGTTTTATCTGTAGGATGATGTGAACTTGCGGCAACCTGGATACTCATAATCTGGGGAACTCGTGTCGAAACATAACGTTTTATGTTTCTGAGCTTCTTGAAATGGCTGCTTTGTATATCATGTGATCGTTTAATATGTCTGCTCTCGTTTGTGCCGTCCTTCCACACGGCTCTTCTTATTCCTTCCGCATATGTGCCGTGATTGATGCTTACGCAGGCCCTGAAGTTGATCAGTTAGCGGCGATGGCTGGAAAATATAAAGTGTACCTAGTGATGGGGGTGATAGAGAGAGATGGATATACATTATATTGCACAGTCCTGTTTTTTGATCCTCAAGGTCGTTTCCTTGGGAAGCACCGCAAAGTCATGCCCACGGCTCTGGAGCGTGTCATCTGGGGATTCGGGGATGGGTCGACCATTCCGGTGTTTGATACTCCGATTGGGAAAATCGGTGCGGCCATTTGCTGGGAAAATAGAATGCCACTTCTGAGGACAGCAATGTATGCTAAAGGTTAGCTATTCTGCATGTTTGCAGCTTGTTTTTTGCTTGACCGTGTCTGAAGTCAAACTACAATTCATCTCCCTGGCTCTTTTTTTTTTTTGGTAAGGTATCTCCCTGGCTCTTTCATCTCCATTAATAGCATATATCTGCTTTTCGTGACCTGGTGGACTTGAAGGGAAGTATAGGAATTAAAAAATAGACGCGCATGCCAACAATTGCACACTATCTTCTGAAAATTTGCTGCATGACACTATCTTTGATCTGTTTTTGCCTAATAGCCATGTTCGTGTTGACGTTCTTACTTCAGCATAGATTTTGTGTCCCAGTTGGATATGATAATGATATTACTCCCACCCTGGAATTCTTGGTTATAAGTTTTAAAGCCCATATTAGGATGTCAAATTGTTGTCCAATCCATCTGATCAGGCTTACTTTCATTACCTGCATTGATGTTGTTGGAACCAATTCTGGGGTAATGTTATCATAATCAATATTAGAATGTGATTCCATGGATTGTTGTCTGTCAATGCCTTGTTGAATTGCGAAACCTTCCTGCCTTCTGTTGAGGTTGGGCTTCCACAAGTCATAATGCTGTAACAGAAACCGCAATTAGCACAGGGACGATGTTAGCTATACTTGATGCAGGAAGGATTGAGAAATTCCAGTCTTCTTTTTTTTTGCAGGTGTTGAAATATATTGTGCACCGACAGCTGATGCCAGGGATATTTGGCAAGCATCTATGACACATATTGCTCTTGAGGGTGGATGTTTTGTTTTATCAGCCAACCAATTTTGTCGTCGGAAAGATTACCCACCTCCACCAGAGTATGTTTTTGCAGGAACCGATGATGATCTTAACCCAGATTCTGTCATATGTGCTGGAGGCAGTGTAATTATATCTCCGTCAGGAAATGTTTTGGCCGGACCCAATTACGATGGCGAGGCACTTATCTCAGCTGACCTTGGTATGCTCCTTTCATCCCGCAGCTCATGTGCACTTTAAATCTCTGGAACTTAGCTTACCAAGGAGATTACGATCTCATTTTAGATGTGAGGGCTTCAGTTTTTTACTTACGAGCTTGATTTGCTTATGGTGTAATGATGTGCAGACCTTGGAGAAATAGTGCGGGCCAAGTTTGATTTTGATGTGGTTGGGCATTATTCGAGGCCTGAGGTGCTTAGCCTGATCGTGAAGGACCATCCTAGTAACCCTGTTACCTTTGCATCAACATCCGGCAAGCCTGAAGGCCCTTATAAATAGGTTGTGTTTTCTTTCATGGAGCCAGGTCCGTATCATGGCGAATAATGCCGAGAATGTTGCTGCCAGTGGAAACCTCCTCATTGTTTGTTTCAAATTTTTCGACTTCATGGGCTATTGTAAATTCTGATTGCAAGCGACATTGTTCATAAGTGCTCTGCTTGATAGTTGAGGAAGCGATGCTATATTTCAGTTGCGCAGCAAACATGTCTCTACTCTGTGCAAGACAACTCCGTGTAATTAGTCTCTATCTTGGTAATGAAATGAGAACATTAATGGCTTTTCTCATGGATTAATTCAATCTTTTCTTTTGGAAGTTCAGTGACAAGTTCTCTTGTCGGCCCCCTGTTTTCGCCGCCGCCGCAGCCGCAATATTTTCCTGTTCCATTCACCTAGTCTTATTTCCACAGGCGGTTGCCCTATAACAAAAGCTGGCCCTCGCGCCGGAGAATCTTTTTGGCCAGTTGACAATGTTATGAGTTGTTAAGTAGCACAAAGAATGATGAAGAGCATATGTGGTGTCATTCTCTCATCATGCTGATCATAACCTCGTGGGGAAGTTTATTTAAGTTCTTTCCGGGCAGATGACATTGGTCTTACAAACTAAGACAGGAGCAACATCAACATTACTTAGCAGTAAGAACTGAAATTGCGAATTGGGATGTTTTTCACATCAGCACTAGACCCACAACACATATACAATTATAGTATCAAAATTCTCGAATAGGATTAACGCGAAGACATCATTTGCTAGCAATTTCTTAGTATTCCCTGCCTGACATGGAGATGAGTGCAAAAAGAAAAAAACTCTCTTTTTAATCCAGTCTCGCCTCAATTTCACATCCATTCCTCGTTCCCACAGTCCAACTTTCCATGCCATGATCTTGCAGAGGCAAGGCCTGGCTCCATGGCCGAATTGGACTGGCGAAACTCGACAACTGACGGTCCTTAAGGCCTGTGAGCGCTCTGTTTCTTCTGGTTTCGTCTTCCTTGTTGCTGTCCATTTTGGTCTGTGAGAAAAACTCTAATAGCCTCCCCGCGTCAAACCCGTTCAGGTTCTCATGAGTTCTGGACCCCTCGTGAAGATTCGTCCCTTTAGAGTTTCCTCTTCTTAAGGAAATGCTTTCCCATTGAATTTTGTCGGATGAAGATCTCCTCCCATTGACGTTGAACTCATTATCTACCGAGACCCTTTTCGAGTTCTCTTGATTACTATCATCGTGCGCGTAACTCCACTTGTAGCTCCTGGTGTTATTGTCCATGTTCAATTCGATCGAATGAAGATCACTTTCTGCGGATTCGTTTCCTTCACACTCCTCTCCATCAGCTTCTTCTTTATTCTCTCGGAATAGTTCATTTTCAGCGCGTTCAAGATTGATTTCGTTACTCAAGAAAGCCTCGAGCTCCTTCGCTCTCTCTGATTTTGGAGAATTCTCTTCTTTACCCATTTTGGATGTCATGTAGGCCTCGAGCTTGGCCCTTAGCTTTTCAACGGCCGCGTTCTTCTCTTCAAAATGGTACTTAGCCTCTGAAAGTTTCATCTGCACTCTCTCCTCACGCAGAACATCAGCTAGCTGAAGCATTTCCCTCTCCTTCTCCACCTCTTCGAGAACTTTGGCTGATTCTCTCTTCAATTCTTCCACTTGCGCTCGGTCCTCTCCAATCCCTGTTGCTAACTCGTCGCAGACCTGCTCCAATATTTCCTTAGCCCTCTTCTCGCTTTCGAGCTCCTTCATCACCTTGGAAAGAGATGACTTCATGCTAGACAGTTCTTGGCCAAGCTTTTTGTTCAGTCTCTCTGTTTGTCTTCTCAATTTTTTTTCCACGTCAACTTCCTCAGCCATATGTGAAATAGCGCTGTGGATTCGTTCTCGCTCCTTCCTTCTCCAAGAAGCCTTTTCTTCTGCGAAATGCTTCATGAGGAAATCAATCTGGTGAGAATGAGACCTCTCTTCATGGATCAACTGTTCAACCTGTGTGATGGAACGATCAAGCTCGATTCCTAAGGCCGAGACGAGGGCCACAGTCGGTTTGTGTTGCTTCTCAAAACCACCAACCCGAAAAATAACTTTCAGAAGCTCCTTCGACGTGGTTAAACTACTAACGACGTCCTTTAGACGAGTCCTTCTATCTTCGGTCCGGTTCTTGCCTTTGGGAGCTTCAATCTGCATTTCCCACCACACATACATGGCATGAATTCTCTCACCTTTCAAATAGAGACATACAACAGAGAGGAGAGGTTTCGTTTTATCTTTTCAGTTTATTCAAAATAAAGTCCAGTAAATTTTAAATGTCAAACATACTCGCGTGAAAAAAATGCAAATCGATTCACAGTAATCTCGAGTTCATTTGTTCAACTCGCAAAAATGCACAATTTAGCAAAAACTAGCGGCGATACTGTTCTTTCTGAACACGCGCATCAATCTCTTCCCTCATATATCCTTTCGCTAGCCTTCACAAATAGTTGGTTTATCAGCAACTTTGACATTTCAGTATTTTATTTACCTCTATCACACTGGCATTGCTATGCGAGTCCTGGCCTCCTTCGACGTAATCAGTGATCAGAAGTTTCTGAGAAACTGCTGACGATCTTCTCCGGTGATTGCCGCCTCCAGCTTGGCCCTTCCTCTGCAATCAACCGACAAAAAGTTTGCAATTCGCAAGAACTTCCAAAAACAACATCTGGGGCAAGCTACAATTCTCACGTGAATTGTCACATAAATATGGAACCTCCTCAGTCATGAATCAAACATAAACAAGTGGAGGAACACATCCATCAATGGAGAAAATTAAAGCCTGACCTCAAGCACAGGGCTGTGATTCGGATCGGACAACCGGGGGACCAAAGAACCAGAATGCGACAACCCCGCGTCCTTCTCCCTCCTTCTCGACAGCTTCTGATCCATCATCACATCCAAGTCGCTTCCCTCTCCGGGCGACGTCACCCCATTGATTTCCCAGAGAGTGGCAGCCAATTTCCTGGCAGAGACGGGCACTTCCTTCTTCACCCTACCGCCGCCATTCTGGGCCGCCAGGCAAGCACTCGGCACCATCAACGGGGGCGATTTCGCACCCGTCCTCCATGTGGGAACGGGAGTGCTCGACCCCGCTCTCTTGCCCACCAAGATCGCCCTCTTCAGCCTGTACCTCCTCACCAGAGACGACGACGACGAAGACGAGCAGCCCCTTTTCCTGATCTTGCACTGCCCTCCGTTCTTTCCCTCCATAGGGGGGGGAGGGAAGCTGCGTTCGTTTTCGAGAGGACCCAGAAACGGAAAAAAACCACAGAACAAAAACAAAACGAAACGTCGTCAGAATTCGAAGCAAATCTTGACCACGACCGCCCGCTTTCGCAAAAGCTCGCGAGAGCAGCACATCAGAACTTGACCCACTTTCAAGAATTTTTGAAAGAACGGCGGAGTGGGGCGAGGGAGGAAGAGGGATCGTGAAGGGAAGAACGTCTCAAAGTTACAGGGTGTGGGGAACGGGCCGGGGGAGGGGGGGTACGGGGTGGGAGTCGTTCGATCAATCTTTTCTTTTTGGCAACTCTGGGCTGTCACCTTGATTTCCTCAAAGAAAGAGACAATCAAAGATTCTTACACACACACACACCCAGCAGTCTTAAAGATCGCGGGGGAACTTAAGAAAGTGGTTTGGGTGTGCGTGAGGAGTGGGGCTGTCAAATTATTGGGGGTGGCGGTGCTATAGAGGAACTGAGAGAGCTTTGGTGGGTTTTTGGCCAAAAGATTCAGAATTCTGGAGAGGGAAAAAACAGGAAAGAAAAAGGGAAGTAAAGTTGAGGAGAGAAGAGAGAAGAGAGGAAAGAGAGAGAAAGAGAGAGAGTGTGTGTGTGTCTTAAGGATGGGCTGGTTTGCTCTCTGCATGTGGAGCTAATGATTATGTGGTAATCTACTCCCTAATCCTCGAATTTAATAAGCGGGCCCGTCCTTCTCGCTCAAGATTTTATCCCGAGTTTACTAAAACCGTGTGAATTATAAGAGGCCGTGCTCGCGAAAGCATGCGATGTTAGATTTGACACAAAGTCGAACCGCATTCAAAAGGATGCGACGTGATCTTTTCGCTTTGAAGATCATTTTAATTTGAAATTATTATTATGGAATCGGGCTTTTTTTTTAAGCTGTCGGTAACGACGGGATGTCCGACAAAAAATTGAATATTATTTTTTTTTAATATGGGGGGAGGGGAGGGATTACTGCGACATGACGCAGCATTAGTAGAGAGATCTTCGTTTTAGGAGGGGTGGGGGCGGGGGGCGGGGGTGCTGACGTGGAGTACACGTGGGCAAAGCGCAGTCAAATGGGAGACGTGCATTGTGTTAAGCTTTTAAGAATCTTGACCGGGGTTCGGCGTATTAATCTTGTCCCCCCTAATTGGAACTGCCCAAATCTCTTCAATATTTGCATCCCCGCCCAAACTCCCCGGTATTTTCGCCCAGGCCCCTCCAATCGACGCACCAAAACTTCATGTTGGTACTTCCATCCCCACGATTTGTCTTCGACAATTGCTATGATCAATAACTTATCTGCCTCCTTGAAGGCTACTCCAATGAAAAGTATGGTATTGACGGAAAAAATTAAATATTATATGTTTTTTTTGGGATAATGACACAAATAGTCCCTGAACTTTGACTCAATGTGCAATTTGGTCCCTGAACTTTTAATTTGTTCAATGTAGTCCCTGAACTTTAACACAATGTTCAATGTGGTCCCTGAACTTTCAATTTGTTCAATGTGGTCCCTGAACTTTCGGTACATGTTCAATATAGTCCCTGAACTTTATAAAAATGTTCAATGTAGTCCTTCCATTTATTCAAGTTCAAGGACTATATTGAACATTTTTATAAAGTTCAGGGACTATATTGAACATGTACCGAAAGTTCAGGGACCACATTGAACAAATTGAAAGTTCAGGGACCACATTGAACATTGGGTTAAAGTTTAGGGACTACATTGAACAAATTAAAAGTATAGGGATCAAATTGCACATTGAGTCAAAGTTCAGGGACTATTTGTGTCATTTTCTCTTTCTTTTTTTTTTAGTCGGCTCGTGAAAAATAGATTTTTCGTTCATTATGGAGAAAGAGAAGTCCTTGATAAGATAAAAAAAAATAAGGAGAGAGAGAGAGAGTGGAAAGGAAGCCACGAAAGTCACGGAGTGTATGACGAATCACATGGAAGGGCAGAAATCTCGTTGCCTAACATTTGTCAGATTGAATGCTTGACTTTGTGTTTATGTTTTTTGTTGAGGGTGTATGTAGGTAGGCTCTAGCAAAACCTAACCCTAGCATGTGCCTCTTTTCACTTTGAATGAAAGAAGGCGAACATGGCCCCTCTACCAGATGTGGGTTGCGTCCCACAATAATAGCTCACATTATTGCTGTGCTTTGTGGAGAGATTTCGAAAGAGAAAAAGGGGAGAGGAATTTGGATATTTTTAGAAGAATAGAAAATGATTTTTGTGGGTTTGAACGCTTTTGACGCCTAGAGAAAAGGCTGCTTCCTTAGGGCTTGATCGACCCTGGTGTCCCGACTTTTTCCTTTTGTTTTTTTCCCCCATCGTCGAATCCTACTCTGAAAAATCACCAAACCCACTTTAACAAAGAGGAGCATTTCTAATGGCGCTAGGAGTAGGAGCTTTACTTTGCACAACGGGGCAACACATTTACTCATTTTATTGTGCTTTTAAGGATGAAAGATTACGGAATCATAATATTAATAATATGCATCTCGGTATGCCGGGAAAGCTAACATGAGATTTCATATCACCGTAAATCGATCAGCGCAGATACACATATATATCCCTGCCGCTAGGAAAGCTAACATGAGATTACACTGTCGAGTTCGAAGTTTGATAGGTTTTCGACTCATATATCCCTTCTGCCTTTGTTATATCTCTAACTCTTCAATTGCGTGACAGATAGATTCGTTGCACGTTTTACATTTTCCAGAATTGAGGATCGGCTCACGCAATGTGAAATGAGAGAATGATAAATCCGACACGCATCGTGACTCGTCCCGTAATAGTCCGAGCTTTTTCAAATTTCTTTTTTAAAATTTTCCTTTGAGGGCGGGGGGGGGGGGGGGGGGGGAATGGATGTGGTAACAACCATGATGCAATTATAGGGAGGAGCATACAAGAGATGCAAAAAAAAACGAAAAAAAAAACTCAAATGAGAATTGGACCACCAAGAGGGAGAAGAGGGAGGGAGGAAGAGGACCAAATGGCAAATAGGAGGAAGTTGGGGGAGGAGGGGAGGAAAAGTCGGGGTACGAAATTTTTGGTAATAATTGCCGACCGTCTCCTAATCGGTGCCAGATGAGAGCCACGCCTGGCTGGCTGGGGGCTGGGGGCTGGGGGCTGGGGCTGGGAGGGAGAGGCCACGAGGTGGGTCCCCACCGCCCCCACCACCCCACCCCACGGGCGACTAACGGCTCCATTTTCCCATTTTCTTTCGGGACTTCTTTTCGGAAATCATTGAGGCGAACCGTCCGTAAATTACGTCGACGTCTTTTGTTTCGCTTGTCGTCGGATTTTTTTTATTATGGCCCTTGGCGACATAATACGACGTGATTTTGTTCAGCTTTAGATGCTTTGTCCCATAGACAAGTGCGCAGCGTGTCACATCGATTATCGCTACTTTGTGATCAACACGGTGATGATGATGGGACAACAAATGGGAGCAGAGCTCGAGATGATCGCGTCGACACGACATGGTTAATGTACCTTTTCTGCGTAGTTTGAGCATTCTTTGTGCCGTGTTAATCTCGGGAGCATCGATATTTGAAAGTTTTTGAGACGTTGGAAAGCCTTGGAGTGGCATTCTTTCAAGGATAAGAGGTAGGTGCTATTTTTGTCTTGGGACTTGTAATTTGAATTGAAAAGAACTCAATCATAAAAAATAAAAATGAAAGAAAACAACGTAGAAGCAATACCGATAAAAGTTTCGAATTGGTATTCTTAAAACACATTTGCCCCGAATTCATTTTATCTCACAAAAATCTCATAACACATTTACTCGAAATTAATTTTCCTCTCACAAGAATTTCTTGCGTGATATCTCCGACACAAATCCACTCTCTAAGATTTGAGTCAGTGTATCAGCTCGAGATTTCTGTTAGGATAAAAGTTAGTTTGGAATTTTTGATGGTATCAACAAAAAAGAATGTATGAAGATCAAATGCGACTCGATTGCCTGTATTGCTCGGCACGGACAACTTTGTGGCGGGGATGCGAGCTTAGATTTCGATTCGCGTCTTATCCGACCCGTAATTTTCACGCGTATTTATTGTGATTTTGGAGTTTAGCAATAACGGGTCTTTTTGGGTAGATTTAGGAAGAAAAATAATTAGAGTGGGCCCACGTAAGGCCAAGGGACACATGGCCTGCCCATGAAATGGGCCGACATCGGGCCACATCCGGTTCAAGTACGATTTTGGGTGGGTTATGGGTGGGCCCCACCGGACCCGCTTGACCCGTGGGCCCACCTCCAATCAGATGGGTTCTTCTTCAGCTTCGAGCTTCTCTCTCTCTCTCTCTCTCTCTCTCTCATTCGTATTTCCTCCTTTTCTTGGACCGACCTTTTAATTTGTTCTCGTTATCTAACTCTCCTAATTTCTGTCAAAAGTGCTTATTATGCCATCTATAAAATGAAAAGAATAAGTTAGAGATATGTCCCGAAGTTCCATAAATGTGAAGCAAGCCCCCTTGGAAATGAAACGACGAGGAAGAATCGCCCTCGTTTTCCACATGTGCTTCCCTACAACACTCGTCGGGCCCCTCGTTGTTCTTCTTCCCATTGAAAATATGATGCTTTTTTCTCGAAGGTGAGACGAATTATTGACCACATAAAATAAAATATTTGAGGTGGGAATATCTCCTCCTCCTCCTCCTCCTCCTCCTCCTCCTTTTCCTAAGAAATTGTAAGGCTGAAACTAAAGTTTTCGGTAGTGTAATAATACATACGTTCGGAGCAACGAATCCCGATATATCATCACTTTTATGTAATTTACTTAACGGGTATTATTACAAGATGAAAAAGGATGACGACGAAGAATGATCAAGACGAATGGAATAGCTAATAAAATTTTAATGTGATTGTCATTTCAAGTTGAATATTATAAATCTTTCGAGATTTCAATCGATAGTCGAGTTGCCATGCGATAATATTATAAACCCGTGGGCCCACCTCCAATCAGATGGGTTCTTCTTCAGCTTCGAGCTTCTCTCTCTCTCTGTCCTGTGGGCCCGAAGATTTCCCATGACGTTGAGGGTTGGCTGATTAATTTTTATTCCCGATTTGCCCTTGCTCTCGTCCCGTGTTCAAGCTATGATTGGTGGTCTATCACGTGGCTATCGGTCCTGCTCTCTACTTTTCTTCTGCCTATTCACGATGGAGTGATTTGCAGGGACTCTCGATTCGAAAGAATTCGGGTTCACCCCCTCAAAAAAGTATTCTTCATCTCGTTGTCTGTGTTCCCTGAAGTTGTAGGAAATTAAGTTTCGAATATGGCCGTGACTCCAACCAATCAGCATGCAATTGATGGTATTTGAATCGAAAACCTTTCGGTTTCAAATTTGAAAATCCTCCGACGCCAAACTGATTACGTCGTTCCCGGGGATCAATATTCTTTTTGAGGTTATCGGTAGTCTTCACACGAATTAGATGTCTGCCCATATCTGA